AATAGTATTTATATACAAAATTAAATAATTAAATTATTCATGGCATAATAATCCGCCGAATTTGCAACAAAAGTTGATGAGTCTCATAAAGGTTAAGATGATGAAAAAAATAAACCTTAAGAAGTGAATCAATAGAATGAAGAAAAAAATGAAGCATAAAAGACAGAAAACAAAGTTCCTAGTTTATTTGGATCAATGATAAATGGATAAAATTTATTCAATAACAATTAAACAAATCAAATTTTTTAAGGAAGTTTATTTGGATCTACTTAACCTAATACTGGAATTTTTAGTTCTGGACCTTCAATTTTAAACAATGTTAATGTAGATCTCACAAAACCAGGACCATCCTTATTTGGTATTAGTTACACAGCTCCAAAATCTGATGATAGTGAACCTGGAGAAGATGATGGTATCAATTAAACAACTATTTTTTAGGATAAGATGATTAAAAACAAGAAGATGATGAACCAAAATAAATAGTAATGAAATATGATTATACTTCAAATACAGATTAATTAGTAAAGGTAATTTGTTTTTTATATAATTTAAGGTTAATGTTGAAAAGTTTAGAAAAAATACAAATGATATTTTGGAGAAGGGATCTGTTGCAATTGAAAAAACTAAAAATGGAAATTCTTACTATCTTGTATATAGGTATATTATTTATCTATTTGTTTAGAAATGCAATATAATAATCATTATATACAGGGTAATTTATCAAAGGATTTTCAGAGATCAAACCTTTGGGATAGAAGGCAGAAAATTTAATTATTAAAGCTATCAGCAGAAAAGATAAATTAGATAGTAAATAGAAGGAATAAGGTGAAAATGATGAAAAGAATTCTATATCTGTTGATACATTAAAAGTAATGTTCACAACAAAAGAAGGATCAGAAGAGTTTAAAACAGAGTTTGCAAAAATATTTTAATGATATTACATATAAAATGAATTTTTAGGATCATGGTTAACAGAAACATAATTAAACATTTCCATCAATATCATTGAATTCAACATTAGGAAAGTTTTTCTTCTTTTCCAACATATTAATTCGCATAACTTCAAAAAACTCTTAGAATGTTAAGGTTTCTCTATTTCCAATTTAATCATTTAATTTTGGAGCATCATATGAATCTCTATATAATTTTCTTAAAGTTTCAGTGCTAATAACTCCATTCTAAATGTATTTATTAAATTAATACCTTTGGGTCAAGAGAATTAAAAACATTTTTGATACCCTCAATTTCTTGTTATGTAAGACCTGAATTTTATTGACAAGATTATGAAATGTCTTAATTACAAGTTTATGTAATATTGCTATTTCCCATTTAATTATTAATATTAATTAGAATAAAACCTATTCAAAATTTAGTTTATTCACATATATGATCCAATTTTTCAGCATGTGCTGGATTATGAGTCATTGTTTTACAATTAATTCCAAACCAACATTATCCTCTATTTTTTATTTTGTCAACCATTTAATCTTTAATTGAAATACGATATCTAAAAATAATCTATTGCCAAATTAAACCAAAGCATTGACTACAAACAGACTAATAAATTATAATTATAATATAAATACAGTATCTTTTAGAATGATCATATCTATTGTTCTTTTTGGATCTTTATGAGTAAATTTCCCTTCTACATATCTAAATCCTCCTTAACTAATATGATTATCCATCATATATTAGAAGATATCTTGTGTTGTCAATTTTTTCTGTTTCATATAATCAAGAAATGCTTAAAATTCAAATTAATTTTATCTAAAACATTAAACATCTACATTTCCAGGTACAGTATGTCTTTCAAGTCTAGCATTTGGGTTTTTCTTGCTTAATTATTAACAATTTTTATTATAGAGAGTACAAAAGAAATTTTCACATAATTCACATCTAAATATCAATCTTTTTTCATTTAAATCTAATATTAAATAGATTTATATAATTACCAAATTTTGGCATTTTTGATGAACAATTACTACAATTTAAATGTGGAGCACTTCTTCTTTAACATTAATATCCATTAATAGCTCTAATACATGTTACACAATCTTTTGTAACAGGACCATCATCTTCTTCAGCTGAGTAATCACTGATATGAGATTACTTATGTGTTTCTATTTTAATGTCTTATTAAATAATAGGAACTTATTAAGATGCAGCAGGTCTACCTCGTCCTCTAGCTGGAGCTACATTTGTAATAGGTTAAACAATAGAAATTGATTCAGATGAATTAAAAATTAGTGCATCTCCTTTAATTTTATTTTTTGAATCCATCTCTTTATATTCTTCTGGTGATCTTTTTTTATCAGGATGCATAATTAGGTATTTTTCTACAAAATTATTGACCATAGGATTTTTATTAACAGTTTATACATCTTTACGACATGATGGACAAGTTTTAGATTTAACCATCCAATCAGAGAAACAAGCACCACAAAAATTGTGAAGACATGGCATCAAGGAAACACATTAAAATATTAAATCATCACATATTGGACAATGTATATCTTCTTGCATATCTTCGAGAGTTTACATTTTTTTCTATTGTTATTCATCAAATTAAGCCGCCATTTATACTTCCTTTACTTATTAAATAACTAATGTGAATCCAATTATATCTGAGATAGGAACTTTACTTTTGTGTAATAAATAGATCTCATCTCCATTCTTTAATATAATTTCATTGTTTTTTCCAATCTTTTAATCTCCTATAAATGTTCCATTTGTTGATAAATCTTATAATTAAACTATATTATTAACAGAATCCCATTTTATTTTACAATGTAATCCAGACAATCTGCTATCACATATCACAATTTTATTAGTATCTGATCTTCCCATTGTTATCTAATAATAAACTTCTAATATTACTTCTTCATCACATAATTCTTATGTATTGATTTTGCCACCATTCAAAGATATTAATTTACCCCATGCTTGTTAAACATTACCTATAATAGGTTCATCTAAATCTGGAGTTCCTTGCATTAGAATGTAATAAGAAATTAAAATTAAATATAAAATTATTTATAGTAATATAATTTATACTTCATCTTTTCTTACTTACAACCACAGCCTATTTAGGTAATTTAGTATCCATAATTTCATGTTTAGGTCTCTTTATTGATACTGCTTTCTTGTTAGCTGAAGCTGTATTAACTTTTACACTCTTTTTAGGTTTAATAGAATCTTAACCTTTAGGTGAAGTAGGATGATTTTATGATTTTTCTTATAATATATCACCATTCTCTTATAATTGAGTGATTCCAATACATTTATACTCATCATTACTCTCAAGTAAATTTAATTATCCAAATTAAGCAGCTATTGATCCTGTTACATAATATTCTTTTAAAGATTGATTTACTGATTACTTTACAGATTAAGTATTAAATTCACAATTTTACTTTTCTTATTTCTTAGGAGATTCTTCAAATTAATCTTAAAGTTAATTCTCATTTTGAGTATTCTTCTTACATTCTTCTAAATATTAGAATGATTCCTTGTGAATTTATAAAACTTCATCTTGAACTTCAATTAATTCTTTGTTCATTTCCTATAAATTTGTAGTTTATTCATATTAATTCTCTTTTTCTTCATATTATTCAACTTTTGGCTCATCAACTTATTATTGAATCTCAAATAATTATGTAAATGATTAACTCAATTCACTCATAGTTGGTCTAATATTAGGATCTGTCTATAACATTTACTTTATGACATTTTTCAACACATATCCATTTCTAACTCCAAATTCTTCTATAATTGATTATATTACATCTATTAAATAATATTTTTATATTATTTACCTTCATTAATTTTATAATTCTATTTATCATATATCTCTTAAATATTACCATTTCCCCAAAATTCCAAAGCTATCAATCCTAATTGATATACTTCATTCTTCTCATGATTATATTAAGGTCTGAGTTCTTTCTTACCTAAAGCATTAATCAATTCTGGTGATAAATACCATAAACTATCACCAGACAAAATTCTTTTGTAATGATTATATCCAGTTAATTAAGTACTATTATTTAATTTTACTTCTCCCTATATTTTCTCAATTAAAACTTAATCTGGAGTTAAATTTCCATGCACTATGTTGTGTCCATATAATTTACTCAGTATTTCTGCAAGACTCTTTAAAACAAATAAACAATTAATTGATGCTTATTTAGAGATTTGTCTTAATGTAATATCATAATATTCATATAAGGCAGTAACTTTATAATATGTACTACATAAATTGGTTTCTTCTTGAGTATCAACTTCTACTAATTTTACTAAATTATCAATTTCATTCAATGATTTAGTTTCATTGAGTATCTTAGATAAATTAGTATACTCTTCATAACATTAACAAGTCTTAGAAACCATAGCATATTATTTTGATTATGATTCAATTAATTTGAAGGATCCATAAATTTCATTTTCCTTATAACCCAATATTGTAAAATTCTTTGATTAAACAATTCCTTGTGCCACAGATTATTCTGCACCCATTTAGACAGATAAAAATATATATTAATAATTTTAACAGATAAATAAAAAATATCAGTTAAATAATCAAATAAAATATCTTCTAATTATTATTTTCAGCATTTATTTATTAAAATATTCTTTAACTATATTCAAAAAAATATTAATGATATTTCTAACAAATAAAAATATTTATAAATATTATTATATTTTCAGCTATCTTTTATTTGCTTAAATAAATATTATTATTTGAATTATTATTTCTTATAAAAGATATTTAAAATTGGTCATATTAATAAGAATTATTATTTATTTTTAAATTCTTACAATGTATTTTATCTTTTTGCATATTTCATTTATCTTATTTCTTTTGATTTCTAAATAGCTACTTTCTTAAATTCAATCTAATTAATTTTATTTTCTAATTTCAGTGATATTTTTATTATTTAGATAATATTTGATTCATCCTTATTAATTTTAGAGAATAATATTTATTACATTAAATTATGGGAAGCTCACATTGTTGTTCTTTATAAACAGATGATAAATCAGAAATTGTTCTTAAAATTGAAGATACTGAGAAGTCGTCCCTAAGGTCTTCTAAGAAATCTCCAAAAAAAAAACAAGAGTAATGTTTACTCCAATTTAAGGACTCCTTCGCAAAAGGAGAAACTACTAGTACATCCAAATAAATGTGAAGATCCTGCAACTCCTGGATTTGCAGATCTATAGTCTTTCGGAAGCAAACATTCTGAATAATCCTACAAAGACATTCAACTTGTTGCAGAAATTGTTATGAATTTAGAAGACATTCCAAAGAAGATAGAAGATATATAACAAAGTCCAATCACTTCTTAAAGATCTTTAAAGAAAAGAAGAAAGAATGACTCTCCTCTATGTGATTTTTAACCTAAGAATTCCTTAAAATCTTTCGATTCAAAGAAATTGAATAAATTAAAATCTCTATCAGAGCATAGAGTTAAATTTGAAGAAAAAAGTGAGAATGATAGCAATAGAAGCAATAGTGCAGATAATAAATCTGTAAAAAGCATAATGAAATAAGAATTAAAATATAGTTAATTTCGAAAGATGCAAACTCAAGGTGATGCAGAATCAAGAAAGAAAGTCCACTTTTAACTAAATAAATGATCTATTCCATACAAATTTCTTGTATGTTATTTTTTCCTTTAAATGCATTTAGAAACTTAATACCATATTATAAATTATATTTAAATAATTATATTTCAAATAATCAAAACATTTATATTATTTCAATTTAATTAACAATAGGATTATATAATCAACCTATTTCTTTAGAACTTTTAAAATATTAGAACTTATAGACTAATTGTATTATAAATTACGCTTATTCACAAATAATTATTTTTTTCTATATTTCATCATTTTAAAAAATCATAGCCTAATGATAGCATAGATACTAAGGTTCTATAATTATTTGAGTTATAAAATTATTTATTGAATTTCTCAATCTATATTAATAAACATAAATCTTGCTATAACTATTCATTAATCTTTTATCAGTTACATAATGTTAATGAAGACTATTCAAGTAATATAATCTTTAAGAGCTTAAATAAAAATTGTCATCCAAGATTAACTTAATTCAGAATTAAAATCCCGATTAATATGATTGGGATTCAGCATAATTACTAACATTTTTACTATATTTATATATAAAAATATAAGTTTCCTTTTTTATTATGATTTACTGTTATCTAAAGATCATTCTAATCAGTAATTGAACTAAAAAATCATAATTCTATAATATCATTCCTTAATATTAAATTTAAGTAATGATTGAAAAAAAGGTTTATAACTAAAATTTTTGCTAATCTCCATACAATACCACGGATAGAATTTAATTCTATAATTAGTATAATCAATACAAATATTTAGAAAAAAGAAGTAATATAATATAAAGTAAAAAACAAACTCAGCTGTTGATGACGTATAAAATAATTAGTCTAATTCGAATCATAATGATGATGATCACCAGAAACAGATGAAATTTGAAATAGAAAATTAAAAAGTAAATAAGTAGAATTATTTTATAGAAATATCCAAAAATTTAGGAAATCAAAACCTTTACAGAAAATTTAGTATAAAAAAAAGTAATCGATTAAGATGTATATTTAAATGCTCTAAATATGAATATTAAAAGATAATCGTTGATCTAAATTTAAGAAGTTTCTAAATTATTGACAGAAAGTAAAGTATAGAATGGTTCTAATAAAACACATCGAATCAGAAAGTTAAATGTATGTTTTTCTTGAAGTAATATAGAATTTACCTGTTCAGAATTAGGAATTACAGTCTAGAGATGAAGAAGAAAAAAATGATTCAAGCATTAATTAAAATTAATAAATAAATAATTATTCTATGCAAGCACTAGGATTACAAATACCATAAAAAGCAGAAGAACTCTAAAAATTAAAAACTAATATTGCTGAATTACAAAAACAAAAATAATAAATTTAAAAATTTCTCAGAGTGGCTGATTCAAAATTAGAATAAAATCCATTACTTTTTAAAAAATATCTATATAGAAATAATAGTTTTGATGCTAGAATTCAATAATAGGTAAACTAAGAAAATAATCAAAAACCTTAAGCAATAGAATAAAATTTAATTGTTAAGATTAATAAAATAAATTAAATCCATTAAGAAGTTCACAGGTTAAGTGCATTAAATAAAACTCTTTTAGAAGACAATCATATTTTAAAAAATCAAATTGATAAAAATGAATAACAAATACTTAATTTTGAGAAACATGCCATAGAAAATGAAAATTGTATTTAATAATTATAAAATGATTTATAAAATCTATAATTTGTTTAGTAAAAGGAAAATATTGAAAAGGTAAATTAAGAATTGTTGAATAAAGATAAAGAAATAGAGTAATTAAGATTTTAGATTAATTAAGAAATAGAACAAAAAAATAATAATTAATAGATTTATAATTAAGAAATAGAATAACTTAATGCCATTTTAAATGAAAAAAAATAAGATAATGATTAACTTAATAATAACTTAAGACATTTAAATACATAAATATAGGAACTAAAATAATAGAATGAGGATTATAATAACAAAAATTTAGAATATAATCAGATTATTAACAATCTTAAATTAGAAATAAATAATATTTAAGCTAATTTAGATATAAAAGATTAAAATATATACTAATTAACTTAAAATATTGAATAATTAAATTTAGAGATATAATAATTAAATAAGGATAAAGAATCATTAATTTAAGATAAAGAGTAATTAAATGAAAACATATAATCATTAAATCAAAATATAAATTAATTAAATTAGGATAAAGAATAATTAAATAAGGATAAAGAATTATTAAATGAAAACATATAATCATTAAATAAAAAGATATAATAATTAAATAAGGATAAAGAATAATTAAATGAAAACATATAAAAATTGATTTAACATTAAGAATAATTAAATTAAGAAATTATCTAAAAAGATGATAACATATAAGATTTGAAAATCGAATTACAGATCTATGAATATAGTAGTAAAAAGATATTCATAAATGTTGCCAATTAAAATTAAAAATTCGAATTTTAACTAAAGGATAGTATCAATGACATTTATATGTTGGCAGCTTAATAAGGATTTTAGTATCACATTATTTTATATTTTAGAATATAATTAAATAGAAATACTACTTTATTTGTGCCATCTAAAAATAAGAGAATTTTGTAATCTAATTGGAATTAAAAATTGTATCAAATTTTTGTGCCAGATGATTACAATCAACCAATAACAATAGAATTTAGTAATTGAAGATGATATGATAAGATAATAAAGACATCTTCTAATAATAATTCCCCCATTTCAACATATAAATATATTAATAATTAGTTTTCATCTTCCACTAGAAAAGATTGTTTTATCAAATATAATTAATTTCAATTTTTTTTTAATCCAAATTCATCTATAAGTTTACATTACACATAATAAAAACATATTTATAAAATAAAAATTAACAAAATTTTATTCTAATATGGTAAGTTCCTTTAAATTCATTTTTATAACCTAATGATATCTAGGGAGAACTTGTTAAATTTAAACTAAATATAGTCTTAAAGTATTTTTATTCACTCAGTAGGTTAAAAATAGGCAATTTAATTTTCACTTTATAAACTTAATATTTAAACATCAAGTGAAATATATTAATTTAATAAGATAATTATATTATAATAGTCAAAAAAATGTACTACTTGAATTAGACAGAACTTTCCAAAGAAGAGCAGTAAAATTGAAAGATTATTCTCTAATTTTTAATAATAATTGTCTAATTTAATTTTATATTTTTTATTATATTTCCAATTAATTTCTTAATTCTACCACTTTCTTTATATGTACTTTTTTTTATTTAGATAAAAATTTTCGTTTAGTTTATAAAATTGATTTTTCATTAGCTTAACAAATTATAATAAAATTATTGAACATTTTAAGTTTGTAAAATTATCAATTCCACTTTTTAGTTAAAAAATCAAATAGCATTAAAGGGCTTTTTGACTCGGTCAAATCATCCTTTGGTCAAAATTTTAATTTTCTTGACTATTATTCTTATTAAATTTTAATTAGAGATGGAAGTGATGGCTTCTGGGGTCAAGGATGATTCTATCCTAATACACTAAAGCTTATGACTAGCATATCCATCACCACTAAGAAAGAGGAGGTAGTAATAATCATTTTAAGGAAGAAATGGGCACATCAATAGTGCATAAATGATAGATTATGGTAATGATACGATGGCTAATTGTGCCAGTCTGATTGAATTGATAGTGATTAATTCACTAATTAAGACAAAGGATGGATAGTTAGAACTCAATTTATGTGATTAATAATCAAAAGATCTAGATAAATTCCTAAAAATGACTGGATCCTTGTAAAATTATATCTTATAGATCACATGTAATTAATGTTGACTAATTTGAGATGATAATGAAATTAATTTGCATTATCACTTAATGTTGGTTGATTATATGCATGAGTTTATGTTCCTAAATTGGTCAATATATATAATATTTATAATCATAATATCATTTTAAGGAATTAAACACACACTTGATTATTCATTCTCTCATTTTTGATTATTGCTTTTTCTAATCGTTTTTTCATTGTAAATCTCTGCTTTTTCTTTATTTTTCTCCTTGAGGATTACCTGTAGCTCTTTAAATTTAAGCCCAAAAACTTATTCAATTATATGTTAATCATTCATCTTACACAAATGAATATTGAATATTTTTCCTTGCAAGCAGTATAATTCGTTGAGATTTTTAGGAACCTGGCTACTCTTGTTAGTTTTGATTAATATATCAATAATGCGATTTGGCTTCGATTTTAGTAATTTGGCTATATACTTTAAGGAATTTCTTTAAAGTTTTATTAGATCATTCTTTGGAGTTTTACTGTAGGCTGTTTATATAGCTAAATTCGAATAAGTCACATGTAGGTTTATGTATATTATCCTTAAGGAGAATAATTCTTTGTTTGAAATCAATACAAGAAGAGATCCATTAAAGTTAATTGGAAGTATGATTAATTCTTCCCTTTATTTTACTAATTTAGTTATATATTGAAGCTTTATCAGTTAAAGTTGCCAAAATAGTTATAATTCTTAAGGATTTATATACCCAATAAATTTTTAAAATAGAAATACTCCTTATTTTGGTTAATTTAATTTTAAGTTCCATAATCTACCAGTTTCCTTAAATAAACTGTTCTGCAACTCTGTAGTCAACAATAAAAACTAGATCATCTTGATAGGTTTTTACATTAACTCCTAATTGAGTTTTGAAGAGAAATCTTATACAAAGCATCCAAATAAATATTAAATAGAGATGTTGACAATGGAAATCTTTACATGACTGTTTTTTAAAACAATATTTTCTTTTTCTTTAATATGGTTTGAATAATGAAGTAATGAATTTATTCCTTTAATAAATACTTGCTGAATATTTTTTTTTCTTCCATTACTTAGAATAACTTATTTCTGATAGTGGTTCAGTATGCAGTAGAGAAATTCATAAAGATTTCCTACTTAATCACACTTTCTAAGGAACAACCCATTTTTTTTGTTTTACTTATGTTCCTCTATTAGAGATGAAGCCTTTTTGCCCATATTTTAGATACAGCCTACAATTCCTTAATTCTTATTTAAAAAAATTACATCTAAAAATTTTATTAATGGATTATTTATTGTCAAAGGTCTGAATTGATATTTTAATGGGATTTTTGTAAATACATTATACAATGGATTTACCAGAGCTTGACCAATATATTTAATTAACTAGTGTTATCATTGACCTTTTAAAATGATTAGATTTATTGTTTTCTTATAAAAGTATCTGATATGCCATCAATAGTTATCGCTTTATTGATTGACATGAATTTTATAGTCTTTATTCGATAGAAGGGACAAATTCGTTAGGATAATATGTTGATAAACATTCTATAATAAGGGGATGTAAATTAAAAAAATTATTTCCATCTATATTATAACTAAGCTTTAAAATATCATAACAGCAATACATCATTAAGCTAAAACTATTGAAAATTCAATAAATAATATAATTTTATCAGATTCGACTTATTGGATAGTCGAAATAATTGATAAATTTAATAAGAATTTTTTTTATAATGAAGATATTTTTAATGAAATGAAATAAATTAAATAATGGATAGAATATGAAAGAGATTGGAGTATATATTAAAAACTTGGGAATACAATTTATACAACCATATCATAATCTTTAGGTATTAATAACAGAATTATGAGAAATTAGAACTTAAGCCATGCTGTCTCTTAATAATGAAATATATATATAAATATAACGGAATCTAAATCTATTAGAAAAAGGCTATAATATTAAATAACGACTTTTCCTCATTTATATTGTGGGCATTAATAACGATCAACCACTAAAACTAGAATTATAATTACTTAAATAGATGGCTTAATTAATGACTAAATTAAAGACTTAATTATTATACATTATTCTCAGAAGTAAATTAAAAGAAAATCTGATTATTTTTTTAGATACTTTAAAGCTCAAATATTCTAAAACCTAAATTTATATTAAACCTTTGAGAAAAAAGCAAATCGATACTAAATCAACACCCATGATGTGAGAAGTTAAGTCATAATCCTTAAATAGATTAAGATTATAAAATTAATTCTAGAAATATACGAATGATATTACTTTAATGATGAAAAGAGAAAAAAATTTTTGAATTATTTCAAAAATTTCTAAAATAAGGGGAAGAATTGGTTTAAGTTGACGTTTATAATAGATTTTAAGTTCTTTGATAATAAAAATATTCATATTAATAAAAATCTTTATTATATAATTAATATAAAAAAATGATAACTGTTTGTAACTTTATCATTTTAGTCAAATTTATAGAGTAATTAAGGCATTTTATGAAAATAACTGATACCAAAAAAAAGATTCTACTTTAATTTAAAATCAAAGAATTGTTATAATTTATCAAAATAAATTTTATAAAATAATTTAATATGAACTCAGATCAAAGGTTTATAACTCAAAATTCACAATTCATGTCAAGGAGAAGCCAATATTTATTATAATTGTATATTGATATTCAAATTTAGATAAAATGACTAATTGTAGAGACATAGAACAACTTTGAACAATCTTCCTGATCAAGAAGAACTAATAAATTAGCTAAATGCCAAATAGGAAAAGAATAACTAATTGTAGGAGGATATCAGAAAGCTAAAAACTTTGGTGGAGCAAAAAGAAGTAATCAATTAGAATTAAAATTTAGAGAGATATAAAAAATTATGAAGCTTTGGTTTAAAAAATAGAAAATACATAAAATTTCGATTTATTCGTCAAAGAAGGAAAATAACTCAATATTACTCGATCGATGGCAATTAATTTAAAAAGAAAAGCTGGTGAGGATAAATAAGAAATTTAGAAACAAAAAGAAACAATCAAAGAACTGTAAGAAAATATAAAAACAAGAAATGTAATGAGATTGAAAGTACTAGTTATTTACTAATATATTATAGAATTATAATGTTTCATTGTTATAAGATATATAGATTCGAAATGATATAATAAATGGATAAAACTTAAAGATTTAAGAGTTAAATTAACAAATTGATAGCTTAAGAATATATTAGAATTATTATACAATATAATAAGATTTACCAGGGATAGAAATAAGATTTAATTAATTATAAAATAACATTAATGAATTGATAAACATAAAAAGATAAACTTAAGCAGATCTGGATATTGTCAAAATATAATATTAATTTATAAAGTAATAAACCCAAAACAATCAATAAAGAACAAGATATCGAAGTGGTAGTTTTAATATTAGTCAACAGAGTGAAATATAAGTTATAAGAGATTAAAGATCGAAATCGATTTCAAAAGATAATATTTTAATTGAAAGAAATTGGCAATTAATTAAATCCCTAGAAAATAAAAATAATTAACTAATTTAAAAAAGATAACAATAATGTAATGAAATAATAACATTAAAAAATCAAATTAATGATATTTCTAAGGAGAAATAAGTACAGGAGAACTTAGTTTAATAATTAAAATAGAATGCTAAAGATAATGCAGATAGAATAAAATAATTATAAAATGATTTATAAGTGATAAATCTTTAAAATGCTAATTTGAAATAATTAATACAAAACCATGGATCTGATTTGACAGAAAAAAAACTACAAATTGTTTAGTAAAAGGAAATTATTGAGAAGTTAAATTAAGAATTATTGAATAAAGATAAAAATAAAGAAATAGAGTAATTAAAACTTTAGATTAATTAAGAAATTGAAAAGAAAAATAATAATTAATAGATTTATAATTAATAAATAGAATAACTTAATGCCATTTTAAATGAAAAAAAATAAGATAATGATTAACTTAATAATAACTTAAGACATTTAAATTCATAAATATAGGAACTAAAATAATAGAATGAGGATTATAATAACAAAAATTTAGAATATAATCAGATTATTAACAATCTTAAATTAGAAATAAATAATATTTAAGCTAATTTAGATATAAAAGATTAAAATATATTATAATTAACTTAAAATATTGAATAATTAAATTTAGAGATATAATAATTAAATAAGGATAAAGAATCATTAATTTAAGATAAAGACTAATTTAATGAAGAGATATAATCATTAAATCAAAATATAAATTAATTAAATTAGGATAAAGAATTATTAAATAAGGATAAAGAATTATTCAATTAAGAGATATAATAATTAAATTAACATAAAAAATAATTAAATGAAAACATATAATAATTGATTTAACATTAAGAATAATTAAATTAAGAAATTATCTAAAAAGATGATAACATATAAGATTTGAAAATCGAATTACAGATCTATGAATATAGTAGTAAAAAGATATCCATAAATGTTGCCAATTAAAATTAAAATAAAATATTCTAAGTTTAACTAAAGGATAGTATCAATGACATTTATATGTAGGCAGCTTAAAAAGGATTTTAGTATCACATTATTTTATATTTTAGAATATAATTAAATAGAAATACTACTTTATTAGTGCCATCTAAAAATAAGAGAATTTCATAATCTGATTGGAATTAAAAAATATATCAAATATTTGTGCCAGATGATTACAATCAAACAATAACAATAGAATATAGTAATTGAAGATGATATGATAAAATTAAGATAATAAAGATATTATCAATCAATTTTTTTTTCACTTTTCCTTTCAATAAAATACAGAATATATTAATTGACTTAAGTTATTACACATAAATATTAAAATCAAAAATTAATCTTCTTTAAAGCTTTCTGGAAATAATAAAAAAGAGATAATGAATCACTTTTGACGAAATCATCTGTTACTTTATTATAAACCTTATGAATTGATAGTTGCAAATTCGTCTATTATTCTCATTAATTGTTAAAAAAATCCTTATAAAGGGTGCCACATTTATTTTATCAGGTTTAACTTTAAGTAAAAATGGGTAAAAATATGTATTATACTTCAGTCAAAAATATTGTACTTTTTCGCCATCCAAAATCAATAAAAATATTTTATTTTGATTAACATACTACCTTTTAATTGATATAAATGATGTTTGTAAACATCTGCATTCAAATTCTAAAAATTACATAAGATGATATAAAGTATTTCTCTTTTATATAACCTAAATTTCTTATGAGTCCATTATTGCTATGAAAAGCTTAAAACTCATTTGAATCTTTCAATTACCAGATCTTTACAACTCTATCTAATTGCTGAAAGATTTTCATCTAAGTTGAATAAATTCACTTTTTTAATATATGATCTTTATATTGCCTTATATATTTATTCCTAAATTCAAGTGACTTATAATAGATTGCCCTATAAAGATTATTTCATTAGTGATTTAAATTTAGATCAGTATTTTGGAGAAAATATTAATGAAGAATAGTAGGGACGAACAGATAACATAACCTTTTAGAATTTTATTGGATAACAGAAATTGAAGTATAAAATTATTAGGATTATTAAGAATAGGTAAAGTTATCAATATAAATAATAACATAAAGAAAAGGAAAATCAATAAATAAAATAAAATACATTATAGAATTTATTAGGTGTTTTATATTGTTGAAGTTAATTTAATTAAATTTTATTAATATTATAGTGCCATCAAATTATCATACTTTCTCTAATCGTTTTAACATTTGATAAGAATTTATAGTTACTTTAAACTTTGGAAATAGAAGTAAAGGAAATAAGAGTAGTTAATTCTTTAGATATTGTTTTTTTAAATTTGCTCTAAGAATATTTAAAATTATTAATGAAAACATGTTAAAAAGCAACTTGACTTAAAAGAAGAGGCAGTTTGTTTTAAATTATATTTGTTTGAGAATACAAAAAACAATTTAAAAATAAATTTCCTAGAGAGTTAGAAGATAATTTTATAAAATAGATTTGAATCCATTATAGGTTGAAAAATGAAAATGATTTTTAGATTTTAAAGTGAAAGCATTTTAATTAAAAACTTAAATAGTTAAGTTTCAATAGAAAAGACTTAATTAAACAAATTAAAAACAATATATTTGAGTATAAGAAAGAAATAAAGTATTAGTAATTAATAAAATAAGATGTTAAATTATTGTATAATGATTTATATAACAAAAATTATATTTCTATTTCCAATATAGTTATTTCTACAGTTGGGATTTCAAAGTCTCTATATCATCTTTTTATTTAAAATAGAAGATTTAGAATTTATCAATGGGTTTAAGTTTTTCTTGTTCTTTAATCTCCTTTTTTGCTATCCATAAATTAATATATTTTTATGAGTCTTATTTTAAAGAATAGTGTAGTCTTTCCTATCTTTAAACATTAAGAGACATTGACATTCCATCGTCGAGATCAAGTAAGTAGAACAACTAAGCGATTTCACACTGTTGCCCCAGTAAGACACTTGGTATCCTAATCAACTCGACAAATAAATTTAACCCATTAAGGTGAATCAGGTTTTGAAAGAAGTCAAAAGGAGAAATAAAAAATTAGCACCACTCCCAGAATATAACTTTAAAAGGATCATAGTTTATAAGGTTACTTAGATCATTTAAATTCTGTGAGAACTTTTAGGTCTCCCTTAGTTGGTGATGCAACAATAAAAAAAATAAAAGAGGAAGTCTAGTTATTTTAAACAGAAAGTTAAACTACTTTACAAAGATTAAAAGGTTTAAAAGAATAAGGTGACAAACGAAAGAAGATTAGTTTGTTAGAAACAGTACGTAATCCATTAGCCTAATAATATAAAAAGTTTACTGAATAATTATATAATCTGATTCATAACCTCCATTAATTGAAAGTATAAATTGATTGTGAGTTAGGATTATTTGAATAATTCAAGAAAATTGTTTTAGGTAGTAAAAAATTTGATTGGAATGAAAAAAAATCTTTATAGAATATTAATTAATCCTGAAACAGAGGAATTATATGAATTTTCAGAGATTTCTCGACTTTGTTGTATAAGAGATGTTTAATTTATTAATGGTGAATAGAGAGTAATTGAGAAATTTGATTTATCTTTGATGGATGATTTGATTTATATGACAGATTCAATAAAATAGTTGTTACAATAAAATTAATTGAAAGCCATAGAAAGAATGCGGGATAATGTATAGTTATAAATTATGAATAAAAGATAAAAGTTGAAAGAAATGAAATAAATAAACTTAGAGGTTAATTAGGAATGAGGGAAGAACATCATCAATTATCATTAGGAACTGCAGCAATGTAGAGATTTAAACCTCATTTGGAATTGGATAATATCGAATCCAGATTAGGATAATTAAATTAAATTCCTAAGTAGTCAAGATGGACATCTTAATTACTTTGTGATATTTTAGATAGATTAAATGAATGATTTAATATTGATTACATTTATAAATTGAGATTTAAAAATAAATAATAAAAGAATAGAGTTATTTAGAAGAATTCTTTTGTAGAATGTTTTTTGAGATTAATATAATTAGTTAATATTATAAAATTAATGAATTTGCAATTTTAGTTAGAATTAAAGTTAAAAGATTTTGAGTATAGAAAATTGTAATAACAATTAAATGTTATGAAATCAGTTGTAGATGAAAAAGCAATGAAATTTGATTCTATTAAAAAATAATTGACTGAAACTTTTAGTGCTCTTATAAAATATGTGCAATTAGAATTATAAAATTTAAAAAAAGAATTACTCTGTCTCATTTCTACTTAGAAATAAGAAATAATTTAATTCTAAAATGAATAGATTTCTCTTAAATATATTTAAGAATTAGAATAATTAAATTAGCAATATTATGAAGAAAAAGAATAATTTAAGATAAGGATAGATAAATTAACTAAATAGTTAATAGAATCAGAAAAAAATGAAGTATATTTAATGATGCTCAATACTAAATATATAAAAGAGAATGAATTATTAAATCATTAATTACTATCTAAAAGTAGATAAATGAGTTAAACAGAACAAAATTTTTATCCAAATAAAACAGGATTCATATCTAAATTTTTAAATAAATATACATGAGAAATATATTAATCACTTAGTACACATATATATATAATGATGCTCTATATCATTAAATTATTCTATTTTAGTTTTTTCAATTGGTATTATTTAAATTTTGAAGAGTTTTAAATATATTGTTCTAATATCTGGATGTCCATATGATATTATCATAAAAGTACCATTAGGTTTTAAAATTCTAAAACATTCACTTAAATATTTTGAAACTCTTTCAAAAAAGGATTATCCACTCATCAAACTATCAAATAGACATTTATCAATTATAAAATCAAATTCTTCATCTTCAAAATCAATTTTTGTTGTTACATCCATTAAATAATAAGGTATTGTTTATTATTGTTTCTATCTAATTAAAACATCACTAAAATCAACACATCGTATATTTTTAATACCATCTAATTACATATAATCTTATAATTAGGAATTTCCACAACCAACATATAATATCTAACTGATATCAAATCTACCAAATAAACAATTATGAATAAAAGGTTAAAGTGTAGAATAAGTTTGTAACCATTCAAAAAATTTGTCCTTTTACTTAGAGTATCTATTGTTCCAATAATCTACACTTGAATAATCAGGATATTCTGGTGATAAACTTAATTCCTTAAACATTTGTTAAATGATTGAATTATTCTAAGATAATTGCTCTGCTTCATCAATAATATCAGAATGGTTCAATATATTAGATGGTTATTATGAAATCATATTTAAAATATTTATATATCAAAACCGATATCCTGGTATACTTGTTGTAGGAAGAGTAGGTGCATTACCAAATAAAGTTTAAGGATTCTCACTCTTTTAATATGTCTCCTGTAATTATTAAGCTTATTCACATTAAAATTCAAATATTTATCTTTAATATCCTTCCACTATTCTTTATCCTTCTTAAGCACTTTCATAAAGGATATCTTGATAATGTTTCTTTTCATCTATAGGTACATTTGGTCTATTGATAATATCACTGATAGTTTAACTACAACCTGGAAAGTTGTTAGCATTCAATAATTCATGAGCTGTATTTATTTTCAATCTTAATTCTGATTAAGTATAATCCATCTTATCAAGATGATTTAAAACAAATTTCAATTATTAAGCCACTATCAATTTTTGGAATTCCATTTAAAGTGCTAACTAAATCATAAATATTTAAAGATTACTTCCACTTATTCTTAATTGATATTTAATCCAGGAATTGAATGACTATTTAATAAATAATGACTCTTAATTAAAGAGACATAGTTTGAAATTAAGACTTGTGTAGTAACATTTCTCACCTTCTCAAATGGAATCATTTCTTCTGGAGAATGTGCATAATGACACATTTCTTAATATCTACAAGTGTTATTGCTAGCATATTTGCATAATGTAGTTTTATAATTATGAATTCCCAAACTGCCAGAAAAATAAACTTATAGAAGTTTAGGATCTTATAAATTTTGACTTGGTAATTATGGTAATGGCTAAATAAATTCATGAATATTTTTTATACATCATTAGGATTACGTAATTCCCTTTCTCCATGAGCAAAATGACATCTAGATCCAATACTGCAATTTCCTGTTGTAGTCCAATGCTTACAAAGAGACGTTTTATATTTTGGATTCATTTGGGGGGGAACCATCATAGCCATCTTTAATTAAGTTATTATTTATAATCAAATTTTTTTAGTATAATCAAATATATTTAGATTTACATGAAGTTAATTGAATAAGATCTAAAGGGATATAATGAACTTCTTATTTCCATAAATCTAATTTTCCAAATTTTTGAATTTTTGATGGATCTGGATTTAAAAAATTTATGTATTTAATTAGCAATGTATATCTTATATATTCATTACCAAAAATAGTGTGCTAATTATAACATGTTCTAGACATCTTACCAATATTGTAAAATGATATTTGTGACATGTTGAAAATTATATTGCAAAAATATTCGGTTTAATATTAGATATCTAACAATAGTTATTACTTTATAAAATAGATAACCAATAATTAAAGTTCAAAAAGACTTTGATAATTTGTTTAAACCTTTTATAATTGAATTTATTAATATATTTAGATATTAAGATTTTATTTAATTTTATCTTATTTAATTTAATTGGTAAATTGTTCTCCAATAAAATAAATAATAGCAAAGATCAAAAGGTTGATATAAAATGATAATTTATAGAAAGCAGCATCTAAATTCAATTCTTTGAATTCTTTATTTATTACAGTTCTCTGCAACTATTATTTCGGAGTAGAAAAGAAGTTTTTTAATAAAAATGATGAAAGTTAATAATTTTTAATTATAAACAACTAACATTTGTTAAATTATGACTAAAGGATAGTCCATTTATAATAAGAATTTTAATAAATATATATAAATATTATTCCAAATTCATCTTTAACTATATTCATTATTGAGAATATCAACAAATTCATTTTTATTGACAAACCCTTTTTTTAAAATTGCTGAGTATTTTTGATTTAATTCCTCTTCTGATTTTGTAATTCCAATTATTTATAATCCCTATAGGATGGAATTAATTTTGACAGTTTTATCATTAAAAGTATCAAAGTGTTCAAATATTACTTCATAATCTGTTGTATCAAAGAATTATTGATTTTTATAATTTTTTAGTGCATCTAACAAAGTTTTTCTAGGTTGATTGCTCATTTCAAATATTAATTATGACAATAATTCCTAATATTGATCATTTTTTTTTTACTTCAAACAATAGGGATATTTTATGATTCTCTAAATATTTTAATGTTTCTTAAATTTGATCTTTTTAAATTTCGTTAAGATGAGGATTATTCTGGAATAGTTTTTCTAATAATTATGATGCCATTTTATTATTCAATATAAATTAATAAATAATAATTTGTAAATTATTATACCGAATTACTATGTTACTATTAAATGAGAGATAATCTTTTAAATAGAAGTAATCACATATTTTAATTTTGCATATTAGTTATATATATTCATTATATTAATAATTTAAAGATTATTAAAATTCAATGATTAACAAAAAATTTTGATTTTGTATATTTTTATGGTAAAATAACTTAGTTCGAAGAGTGATCAATTATTGTATTATAATATTTAATTATTAATATTATTGACCAAAAATAAAATTTGAAACAAAATTGATAATTATAATGGGATTGTGTTAACACATAGAGTTTTTAATTAAATAATCCTAATTTATTAATTGTAACGAGATATTTTTAATTTTTAATTTTATTATTTATACTACTTTTAATTTATAGAAAACCATAATTATATAAAAATATAATTTCAAATTAAATAATATATTTTTCATTTTTACAAAATATTATATAGAAAATTTTAAGTTTTTCAACTGATATTTTTAACAATTTTAATTATTGGCATTTATTATTATAATTCTTATTTTCTTGTTCATATAATTAATAGACTCAATAAAAAAAATATTTTGTAATTCTAAAATGATAGTTGCTTATTTAATTAGAAAATACTATAAACACGAGCTTGAATTTCATAATTAGCGACTTCTTTATATTCTGAAAGCCATAACAATTTTCATATAAGTTTTGGAAATTTTGATCAAAATCTAATTAATTAAATATAAGTATTTCTAATAATAATTTAATAGGACTTCTATCATACAACTGCAAATAGATATATTATTGGGGTTAAATGATAAAAAATTTCTAATAATTCGATTAATTGCTTTTTTTGGGTTTAGGATTGTTAAGGAAATATAATGAGAAAGTTTTTGGAACATATTAAGATAATACTATTGAATAATAAAAATTTATTAAATATATATGAATGAAGCATGTTCCTCCAACAATGAAAGGTTAAATATTGTGGGAGATGTTGGATTGATACCTAAAGATGAGATATCTTTAGATGAAACTAAAATTATCAAAATTCAAACAAGTGTTATAAGTAATAATCATATATATTCAGGATTTTTGGAAAAATAAAAATAATTAGAAAAGCAGGTTGTTCTTGTTATCGCCCAAAATTAAGTGGAGTCAAATTTTAACTAATAAAATGTCTCAGTAATAGAAATGATACCAAAAGATGCACAAAAAGTAGAATGGCCTTAAAATTTACATTTATCTATATAAAATAAATTGAAAGAATTAATGCCCCTTTAATAGAACAGTTATCCATGCTATTTAATGAATAATGGATGCATTTATGAAGGATAATTTTTATAGTTTTAAAAAGAAGGATTTGGTAGATAAATAGATATAGATGGTACTTTGTATGAAGGAAATTTTAAGAAAGATTAAAAATCAGGCAAAGGAAGATAAATAAGTTGTGATGGAAGTTTGTAACTTATATAAATTAAATCTAGATATGAAGGAAACTTTGAAGAGAATGAATTTAATGGATACGGAGAATTTGAAGATTAGAATGGATTTATTTATAAAGGAGAATGGAAATAATAATTGTTTCATGGTGAAGGACATGAAATTAATTAATAATTTGAATATAAGGGTGGATATAAATTTGGACATCGAGAAGGATATGGAGAGATTAAATATAAAGATGGCAGCAAATATATGGGGGAATTTTAGAAAGATAAATATGAGGGATTTGGTATCTTTCTGTATGAGGATGGAAGAAAAGTAATAAAAAATATCTAATTTAGTATGAAGGATAGTGGATAAATAATTAAATGCATGGAAAAGGTACATTTACTTGGCCAGATGGACGAGAGTATTCTGGAAATGTAATATTTAAATGCTAATATTATTAGTATTACTATGACATGAAGGAAGGATTTGGAGTGTTTAGATTTTCAAATGGAAGTAGCTACAGAGGAATGTGGAAATAAGGGAAGTAACATGGTCATGGTGTTATGGTTTCTGAGCTTGGAGATTAAAGATAAGGTGAATGGATTGAAGGGAGAAGGATAAAATGGAGATGATTAATACTAAATTGATTTTAATTAGCTGATTTTTTGTAGTATTTAATTTTAATTTATAATCTAATCTATATGTTTCAAGATTAACATATATTAGAAAAATGCTATTTTATATTAGAAATTAATATGGATACTTATAAATTTATTTATAATCTAAAATTTTATTTAAGTTTAATCAAAATTGATGGTTAAATAGAATTAGGATTTGAAATAAATTCATGTTAATTTAAATATTTCTTTTTCATCTTTATATCATTACATATTCTTATTTCCTAATAATAAAAACATGATAATTCTTTTTAGCAAATTTAATATTAATAAATAAATTAATAATAAAAATTGGTAATAAATAAATATTAATTTAATTTATAATATCATAAATATATTTTAATTATTAATTTAAATATGTTATTAATTATAAATGATCTATTAATTATATTAATATTTATATTAGATTCCAATAATATATTTGATAACTATATGTTTATTTATATTCTAAATATATATAATATTCTTCATTAACTCTAAGATTCTTATTCTTAATGTACTTCTGATAAATTTTCATTATTAGAATTTTATCTTTTGTTTTCAATTAATTATTTCTTAATTATTTCATACATTTAGTCTGGATGATTAACACTTTGAGATTATTCTAACTAGAAATCATCATGAGCTCTTTAAGTTTTATACATTTCAGTTGGTAATAGATGTAATGGTTCTGACACAAATTAAGAGAATGTTTTTTACAATTCAGGTACTTTATTAAATATAGATAAGTTGCCAAAAATATAAAGACCCAATTTCGCTCTTGAAAAAGCAACCTATAAAAATACTAAATATTTATTACAATAATTCTTCTTATATCTCTTAAATAACCTGGTTAAGATGTTCTAACCATTGAAATTAAAATTATATCATTTTATTATCCTTAAAATTTATCAACAGTTGTAATTTTTTCTGGTGTTCTAAAAAGCGAATGCCAAGAACACTTTCTAGTAATAATATCCTTAATAAGCATCTTTTGTCCATTATATGTTGTTAAAATAGTTATTTATTTTGGATCATAACCTCTTAAGATCAAATACATATAACTATTTTAGAATATTCAAAATTATTACGTAGCAACAATAAATTCAGCTTCTACAATATTCTAATAGAAGTATGGCATAGGTTTATTTTCATAAACTCCTTTATAATCTACATCTATAAATTAAAATGTTTTGCATAATCCTGCATTAGCATATCCAAATTAATTATCTGAAGATGGATTACAACATTATAATGTATTTAATTCTTTATACTTCCAAGAATATAATTTCATAATCTCTGGTCTAGTTCTACCTTAATCAGTAAGTTGATGATAAAATACTCCTAATCTAATCATTCTTATAAAAAAGGATTGTTCCATATTAGCTAATTTTTAAAAACTAACATTTTTAATAACAGGAGGTAATTGATTATGATCTCCAATCATTATTAATCTCTTTAGTTTTCCTGTTAAAGACATAGTTAATGGAAGGAAAGCTTCAATTTCTAATATTTATCCAGCTTCTTCAAATACTATATTGTCATATTAAAAATCTTATTCACAAAAACTATTTCTCTTAAGAGCAGCATGAGTACAAGTCATAGCTACAATTTTAGCTTAATGACAAATAATATAATTTCCTCTCTCCTTTTTGTTTCTCAATAACTCAAATGGTCTACATTCTCTAACTTATTCAAATATGTCTTCAATTACTTTATATTATTCTTCTTTTGTTTAAGCCTTTTCAAATAGCTATGGGTTTTATTCAACAAATGTATTAAATGGAAAAACAACCATAGGATCTGATTTGATCTTTTCTCTATAATTATCCCATAATCTTTGAATATGTAATTTAAAGAAAATCTCTGATACCTCACATGAATATTCTTCTGAAAACTTAATTTACACACTTTTTTAAATTTAACTAACAATTTCCAATAATTATAATCTTCTGGTTAACATATGATTAATTCTACCTTCTCTTGAAAAAGTCTTACTTAATTTTAAATCTTTGACACCTATACCTAATCTTAACATATGTTTCTCATCTACATCCATTTTTGATATCTTTTAAAATATGTCATTTAAAGCATGATTAGAATGAGTAATCAGAAGTGTTTTTTCATTTGGGAAGTTTTGATAAAGTAAATTCACAATTTAAACAGTTACATCTGTCTTACCAGTTCCTGGAGGACCAACAACTAATGTTAAACCAGGATACATAGCTGAAACTATTGCATTTGTTTAAGGTTTAGTAAATCTAATATTATTAATTCTTTTTCTATTGTTTAAATTGCCAAAAGTAATTTTAGATTTCAAATCTTCTGGAATGAAAGAATTTTATTTTATAACATCATCATAGTGTTATTAATCAATTACAGTATCTAGAAGACTGAAATTTACACTAGATGTTTGATTTTTCATATAGTATTAAGATGAAGAAATATCTTCAACACCATATCCCAAAAGTATTTCATCTAAAAATTTGGGCAATTAAGGTTTCTGTAATATAACTTATTAAATTGATCCAAGAATGGCTTTGAAATTATTTTCTTTAGGATTTCTTTTAACCAAAAGTTTGAAATTTCCATAAATTTCACCTTCTGCATTTATACCAGCTAAAATTATTAATTTAATATAATACAATCTATATCATCTTAATATTATGCTTAATCTAAAAATACATGAAGTATTCTTAAATTTCCTTAGAATTTTTTAGATGGATCTGGTTCTTCCCAATCTAAAATTTCTCTCCTTCTTTCATCATATACTAATTCTATTTCAGCTCCTCTAATAGCTCTTATACCATATTTTTCACAAAAAAGTTTACATCCTTCATTTTCTTCAATTTAATCTATTAAATTCTATCTTTCATTTAGTTCACTCTAAAATTCCTACATATCTATTTCTTTTCTAAAGCTTATTAAAAATACAACTTAATGTTTTTTTAAGCTATCCCAATCCTTTTTTACATTTTATGCCATCCTTTCTACAGAATATTAAATTTCACCATAAACTCTTCTTGGTATTCTTTTTCCTATTTCAGGTGTCTATACTTCATGAATTCTGAATTTAATAACTTCTGTTGCTGCCTTAGCCCATCCACTGAAATAAATAAAAGCACCATTTTAATCAAATTTTGGATCCATTCTAATTATAGTATCTTCAAAATCTTTTCTCAAATCAAATGCACTTTCAAGTTTAAATAATTTATAATTTCTTTCTAAATAATCTTCAAAACATAGAAATTATAAATTCAATTTAGGCAAAGCCAAAACTTATTTTAATACACCACTTTTAGATTCTTCAGGAATATGTTTATAATCCCAAATCATTTATTCATTAGGTATAATAGGAGTATCTTTTAAATAATGATTAAGAAAAGGTGAAGGAGCAGCAGCTTTCATTACTTCTTAAATAAGAAAATCAAAATTCTTTCCAGGTTCATATAATTTTGGTTATAAATCATTAGGGAATACTAATATCATCATTTAAAATAGTTTTTCTATTTCTGATCTTCTTAAATTTTTTATAAATTAATATTCTTCCAATTCTTTTTATTAAACCATAAATTTAAATTATTTATAAAGTACTGTTTATAATTTCTTTAAGAAATCTTTTTACATAACTTATTAATCTTTAAGTGAAAGTACTTCTCCATTCTAATCATTAATTGGATATGTTAAATAATGTTCAAATGATTAAACTAAAGTTTATAATACACATGAATGATATTAAGGTAATGTGCATTTCAAATATGGTAGTATATTTGTTGAAAGTAAATAAATTTTTAAAAACTTTCTTGTTGGAATAGAACTTAATAATAAAATCATAAAATCTACAAATTTCTCAATACATTTAAGGTATCTCATTTATGTTTATGTTACTTTTCTATATAATAATTTTTCATTCTATGCTTTTATTATGTGTTTTGGAGTTGGAAGTGGAGCAGAATTTCTTTCTAAAAAAGTTCTAAATTAATTTTGAGATTCTATTTGTATTAATTCTTCATTTTCTTTATAATTATCTTCACTTATTGGATATGAAAAAATGATTTAAATCATATCAGAAACTAAATTAGGTATAAATTAGGATTCTGGTTTTTAACCTCCTCCTTAAACCTTTAAAGCACTCATATATGATTAAACCATTTTAGGATATTTCAAAAAATGCCATTTCAAAAACTAATTTATTACAATTGATTTTGTACTATTTTATTTGAACTCAATAATAATGCTGAGGATAAATATTTATAACATTCTTTTTAAACGAATTGTGTTTCTGGCATACAAAACAATTGCATTAAAAATGTATATACTTATTATTTTTCCTCTAATTATAAAGATTTAAAGTCTGGTAATCCTTTTGTTATGTAATTAAATATCTTCAAGAGGATATCTTAATCTTGAAGACTGTCTTAGATGTTGATTTACTCTAGTTATTTTAAGTTTAAAATAGCAATTGTAGTAAATACAAGCTCTTTTGATAATCTAATTATTATGCTAAAGATACTAATCATTATTCTTTATGTATGGAAATAGATGATTTTCTAATAACCATTCTTTTTCCCATTATCTCAATATTGCTATATTAAATTATTAGCTAACAATAGATTCATAAATCTCTTGGATATTTATGTTGCTCTCAGCTTCTATTTACATAATTAAATTATTAATATATATGAAATAATTTATTCAATGTTATTCAAAAGAAAAGATTGAATAAGTCGATAAATTAGGTCAATAATTAGAAGAATAAAATTAGAAGCTATCTAAAGATAAATCAACAGTTGATTCTATTAAGTTTGATCTTGAAACAATACAAGCAAAAATAATCAATTAATTTTATGATAAGGCTCAAGAAATGGAAAAGTAATTTCTCCAAATTGATTCAACCTATGTAATCTCTATCATAACATTCATTAGGAATAATTATTGCTCTTAGAATAGAAACTAAAAGACCAACTTAAATGAATTAAATATTATGTTAATAATAATTATTAATTTATATGCATATTATTATTATGTTCTTTAAAAGATAAAATATTTTTATATTTGAAATTCAATCCTAAAAAACTAAAGAGTTTGATAAAACTAAATGTATTTAATCAAATTTTTAATTTCTTTTGAGAATTATAAATAATAATTTTTGTATTTCTTTCTTTTCTTAATCTCTAATTAAATTGATAATAAATAAAATAGAAAATGAGATTTAATGATTTTTTTTATTTTTATTACAAAGAGTTATGTTACAAAGAAAAGTATATAAATAAAGTCAATGATATTATTTCAATAATTTACACAAGGAAGATTTAATGCTAGTATTTAAGGATTCATTTTTATCTAATTTAATCTTTTTATTTGAAATTGCAAACAAATGTTTGGGATCACTCAAAATTCCTTAAGTGATTCTGGCTTATGATAAATTTTAACTAGATGTAATAGGACCTTTAATTGAAACTCTAGGATTAGAAATTTCTTGTATAGTTTATTCTCTATTACAAATATCTTATGATGATATTTTTGTATCACTTGATTATATCAATTTATTGATTTCTTTTACAAAATAAACATTAATTTTATCATCTTAGAAGATGACTTTAGGAGAAATCTTTCTATACAATTTTCCTTCTTTAATTATGTTATTCTCTTGTATATCTTTATGTGAAGTTTTTATTGATTTTTATGAAGTAGATTTTATTAATGTATCGCATAAACCTTTGAATAATAGTTTAATATACTTTTAGTATTTCTATGTTTTTTTGGAGAGCTCTGTTAAGTTGAACAATAAATCTTATCCTAATTTTAATTTACATTTTGCTGATTAAAATTGATAACTTAAATTGATGATTTTCTAGTTTAATTTTAAGATTAGTTTGTTTCCTAATTCAATGTCAATGTTGTCCTTGTTCTTTTACTAATTAATAGTTTATTTTAGCTTTAAGTATTTTTCATTCAATTTTATATTAATCAATTATAAATTAACAAAGTAAATATATTTCAATAATGTTGTTACTATTCAATTAATTGATTAAATGTTTATAATAATAGAATTCATTAATAATAATTAAATATTTATGCTATAATGAGAAGTTCATTATATATATATATATATAAATTTAATATTATAGTTGAATACTTTGACTATAATAAATGATAATAATTGAAATGTATATTTGAAACTCATCTATTAAAAAAATAATTCTTATTAATAATGTTTTTTATTAATAAGTAATTATTTTTTTAATTTAAGAGTTCATTATATATATACAGATCTTTATAAATGAATAGAGCTAAAATAGTTATGTAAACAACACAAAAATATTCAATAATTCTTATCTTTCATTTATTGCCTTTATCTTATTAGTGTTTTTTGAGAATATTGAATAATTAACAATATGCATCTCTAATCTAAATGTCATTTTTAGCCCCTGTAAAGACTATTTTTCCTGAATAGAAGATTAGGGCAGCAAGTTTAGGATTTTACATCTTATAAATCAATCCAGGGAATGCTGATCGCTAAATGAACATAATAAGAATTATGTACATCATAGCTGATAGATCCTTATAAACTTCTGTCATCATGTATTTTCATCAGATTTACTTCATAAGGCAATTGGCTGTTGGCAACTATGTTACTTGTTTAAATATCGCCTATTTGTATAGTAATCCTGTTGTTCTTCTCTATCTGTTTTTTAAACTTTAAATAAAATGCTTTTTTCAAACTTTATTAGCAGCTTCTTCTGCCTCATTCTAACCTTTGGTACCTGTTATCACCATCTTACCAGCTTCAAATATCAGGGCAGTAGACTTGGGTTCTTTTATTCTCTAAATCAGAGCAGGAAATCGACCTTAATAATTTAAATGAAGATCTACTTTTTTTGTATTCACAATTTTGAGATGTATGAGCCAAATTATCCAAATCAAGTTTATCAATATCTTCTCCTGTCTTAGTCTTCATTTTCAAGATCACTGTACTGACCACATTCTAAATCTTAGGTTCATATGACTCATGTAATTAATTGCTTTTTTTGATTTATTAGTATTCCTATTAATATACATAAAAAAGATCACTTTTTCAATTTCCTTTTTCTTTTCTTCAGTATATTCGTGAACATCATTCTTGTTTTTCTTAATATGTTTTGATTTTTTAGAAATCTAAAAAAAAATATAATGTGAAGTGATAATGAGATAATATAATCGTAATTTTAGTATTAAAATAAGGTTAAGTTACCTAGGTGTTCTCTGGAGGCATTGAGGAAATAAAAGTTAAAAAAATTAATTTAAATATAGGAAAAAGATTTAAAAAGCCCTTCTGGGTTAAGACTGCCGAAAATTCTGATGAATTCTATTGATACTTAATAGAAGCACCAGCTAATACGTCTTGAATAAATTCTGACAGTGACTTGAAGATAACAATTATTTGATTTAAAAAGGAATTTAAAAAATGTATTTATATATATAATTAATAAATGTTATTAAAATTCCAAAACACTTTTTTTTGATTAGAGATAATAGTATAATAATCATGAAAGAATATGTTTTTGTCTGTGTTACTATGATAAATGATGATAATATATAATCCTATTACTGTATGTTATTTGTATGTATTATTAATATACTATTGTTTTCATGATCAATCAAACAAACCTCCCATATCAACATCTTCTTCTGGCTCTTCAACTTTAGCTGGGGCTTATTGAGCAACTGGCTTTTATTCAACTTTAGCAGCCACTGGAGCAGCTGCAACTGGTGCATTTGATTACTTAATTTGATCAAAGATGAATCCACTTTACAAACCGATAGCTGCTAAATCTTTAAATGCATTAGCCAATACATATGGAGCTGAGGCTTCATTAATCCAACCTAAATTAATAATTAAAATAAATCATACCATTTTACAAAGAAATAGCTGAGATATTTTAGACATTCTATTAAAATTTAGTTACGATGTCATTCAAATTGACTGATACTTATTACTTGTTCAATATTGATCCATTATCATAACATGAAAGAACTTCCATACTAATATATATAATTATTTTTAATACCCATATAAAAATGGCTTCTTTCCTAATTTCTACAATAAGACAGCTTAAGATTAACCAACCTTTTAACCAGTTTTCAAGACAACAAAGTCTTTGGTGATTTAGATTTAACCCTTTTCAATTTTGGTTGGAATTTAGAGTGCATGGAAGAATTAAATTGAAGCTGGATCCATACCTGTTGGACCAGGGGGAATAACAACATCAACTGGAGCAATGGCACCAACTCTTGCTGGGGTTTCAACCTTATTTTCTTCGATAATTGGTTTAAGATCAAAGACTGGAGTATCTGTAAAGATAAATCCAACTTTGCCTGCAACTTAGTTTTTCAAAGAGTCTAATTCTCTGATTGCATTGCCAAATTTCTTTAATTCATCAAAATATTCATGAGTCTCTGGTAATTCTTATACTCTTGTAGCCAACACTTTTTTGAAGAGAGTCTACAATATTTAATTGAACATGTTTACATTCTTGCCAATAACTAAGAGGGCATTTTTCTTAGCCAATATTCTTCTAATGTCTTACACTTATTTTGATCCAACATTTGCTAATCCAACGATGATGACTTAAGTATATTTAGACAACAACTCATAAATCTTTCTATAGAAATATATCAATAATTTACTTACTTGAATTATGCTGGCTTCTTATCCTTTGTTTCCTTTTTGCCCATTTATTATTTATTTAAATTAAAAAAAGATTTCAATTTTTGATAAACTATTTAAGTATATATATATAAATTTCATTATTTCTTAAATGTTCTATTCAAGGTGCTATCTCAAGCCACTTTATACGTTTTCCTTCCTTCCATATACCATGTTTCTAAGTCCCATCTGCAAATACAAACAATCCTTATCCATGTTATTTTCCCTCACTCCACATTCCATCGTATTTCTTTCCATCAGCCCAATAATAAATTCCATGTCCATCTTTTTTATCATTCTTATATTCTCCTTCATATTTTCTACCATCCTTCCAAGTATATACTCCAAAACCATGCATACAATTATTCAACCATTAACCATTATATCCTCTACCATCTGCCCAACAATAAACACCCCGACCATTTATTTTATTATTTTACCATTCTCCTTCATAATATGAACCATCAGGCCATTCATATTTACCAAGACCTTGCTTTTTCCCTTGATAATATTCTCCAATATATTTTGAACCATCATTCCAAACCTCTTTACCTTATCCATGTTAAAGATCATCCTTCCATTCTCCTTCATATCTTGATCCATTGGAATGCTTATATATTCCTTTTCCGTTAGCCTTGTCTAAATCCCACTCACCTTCAAATATATCACCATCAACATGGTAGAAAATACCCTTACCACAAGCTCTATTATTTTTCCATTCCCCTACATATTTAGCTCCATCACTCCAAATTTAAGTACCTACACCTTCTCTCAAATTTCCTTTCCATTAACCCTCATAAATTGCTCCACTCTTAAATTGATATGGTCCTCTCATTTCTAATTAAGCATCATTCTTCTGTGTAGGTAGATTTATAACTTCAAAATTTTCCTACATATAGTTTTTATTAGCTCCTTGTATTGAATTTTTTTAAACAGTCTTCAATTTATTTTATTATTTCCTTTTTCTAACTAAATACCCTCTATATCTGCTTTATATTTTAATTGCAGCTTTAATTTTGTTTGAATTCTCATTACAAAGTTCATTAAATTTTCCCTATTCTTATTTTTTTTAACTGGTTAATGAAACTTGTTTATTTGTAACCCTCTTATCTTGTTCTTTGCTAAATTAATTTGGTTCACCAGTTTGCTTATTACTTTTAATTGATCCTCTAGACTAATGATTGCTGTTTTTTATCTCTTTATTATCTAACTTACAATTAAATGATATAATACAACCACTATTTCTTTCTCTTACAAATTAGACTTTCCATTATTACATTCACACTAACCACATTGATTACCCATCTTAATTAAGCTGTGTTAATTATTAAAATTATTAATCAATAATTTACCTATATTTATAGATTATTTTTTAATTATTCAGGTTTTTCTATAAATTAATGATGTCAATTCATCCACATAAAAAATGGTTACATTAAATATTTTATATGTTTAAAGAATAAATAATATAAATATCATAGTAAATAATATTATTACTTTATTTTTGATGGTAAAAATATTATGCTTGAATGAATTTAGAACCAATCTGTATGGCTATTTTACTATTAATTATGTCAACTTGTTCAGGAACCCTGTATATTGTAAATAAAATGTCAAAGTAATCAATTTTTCATTTTTATTTCACCCTTATGGATATTACTGAATCAATTAGAAATTCATTAAATAATATTCTAATATGCATAATAATACTAATTCTTTATCTACATATTGTACATTTTTAACTATAATCTTAATTAGTTTACATAAGAATTTTATTATAAATTTTATTCCTTAAAATTAATTGAAATGCAAAGATTATTAATTTCCTTAAAGGATAAGTTCTTAATTTAAATTGATTATTTAGAGATGTTTAAGTTTAAATATTGTTTTAATTTTAATTTTCTCATTAAATTTGTCTTTATTAATCTACTGACTTTATGTTTCAGAAATTTTAGGTTGAAGACTATTATCTAAATTTCTTAAGAATCTAACCACTTTTTTAATTGTTGATTATAATATTTATGTGTAGATCTCTAAATTTAATTTGCAGCTATTATTTTCTTTACTTAATTATTTATGTTAAAATCTCTTAATTCCAAATAAATTCAATAATAATGTAGATATTCCAAATATAACCTATTAGAATTTAAGATATTTTCAAATTTTTGAATAATTGATAATATTTTATTATAATCTTCCTTTAAAAGAATTTGATTCTTCACTCAAAAATAAAAGTAAGAAAACTTTTGATTAAAGAATGTATTGTCATTTAAAGAACCAGTAGTGTAGAGAATATAATTGTATACAAAAGCACTATTTTATTATTATTATTTCTTAAATATTAAAGTTCTACTTTATTTTAGAGTAAGAACAAAAGATATTTAAATATTATAGGATTTACAAATAATATAGAAACTTTGGAATAAAGAAGAGAAAATAATAAAAATAATATTATTATTTCAACTTAAATAATATAATAAATTATTATCATTAAATATGTCTTAATAATTTTAGAGTCAATCTATGTCAATTTTGGGTTATGTTCCTGCTTTAGTAGTGTAACATCTTTTGAATCTTAAAATGAATAAATTATTGAGAAAATTACCAGAAAAGTAAAGAATAAAAAGTGTTGTGATGTTTGCAGATATATCTGGATTTACTAGATTAACAGAATTGTTAAGCTAATTGGGAACTGAAGGGGCAGAGAGAATAGCATTTGCAATTAATAGATATATGGAATTATTAGTTTAAGGTATAGGAAGAAGTGGTGGTGATATTTTCAAATTTGCTGGAGGTATATATATATTTTATATTATTTAAAGATGCTATGATTGTTATTTGGCCTCCTCCTCCTAATGATTAAAACTTTCAGTAGAATTTAGAAACTTTACTAAAATAAGCCATATAATCAGCATTGTTAATATAAGAAAAATTAACAAAAGCTTAGATTGAATAAGGAATTTAATTGAGTGTAAAGATTGGGTTTGGAGTAGGAGAAATGAATATAATTCATGTTGGAGGAGTTTTCAATAGAATGGAATATTTGGCAACTGGAGATCCATTAATCTAAGCTTTTCATTCTGAGCATTGTTTAACAGAGGGTGGAAAAATTATTATCTCTTAATAGATTTATGATATGATTAACAATTTCTTTGAATGTTAAAAAGTAGTTGATCATGAAGGACATTATGAAGTCATTAAATTATAGTAAGCGAAAGTGAAAATGAAGGCTGATGCACTTTTAATAAAAAATAACATAACCTTATCATAGTTTTAAATGATTAGAAATGAGATTCAATCATATATACCTGCTGCTCTTCTGCCTTACATTGATATAAATGAAGAAGCTTGGAGTGCTGAATTGAGAAGATTGTCAATAATGTTTGTTAATTTAAAAATGGATCTTAATTCTGCAAAAAATGCTTAGGGATTGGAATAGATATAGAGAGTCATTAAAACAGTATAAAAATGTATTTATATGCATGAAGGATCATTAAATAAGCTTTTAATGGATGATAAGGGTTCAACTTTAATTGTTGTGTTTGGTCTTCCTCCTTTAAGTCACTAAAATGATCCTGTCAGAGCTATTTTGACAGCATAATTAATGAATAAAGAATTACCAAAAATTAATTGTGGTTGTTCTATTGGAATAGTTACAGGTACTGTATTTGCAGGAGTAGTTGGTACAAGTGGTTCAAGAAGAGAATATTCTGTTCTTGGTGATTCTGTAAATCTTGCAGCTAGATTAATGTAAGCAGCTTGTTCAGAAACAACTCATAAAATACTTTTATGTTTGGAAACTGCTAAAAGTGCTGGTAATTGTATAAGCACTGCATTTTTAAGATAAACTTAAGTAAAAGGAAAAAATGCACCAGTCCACATTTATGTACCTCTTGATAAATTAGTAGAACCTACTTAAGGTAATTTGTTACCTAATTTCAAAATTCATAATTATGCTTATGGATTTGCAAAAAAATCAGATTTTATTGCTATTTAATTATATGGAAGGGATGAATAGCATAAAAAGTTATTGAATTAAATAGATAAAGTAATTAAAGGTGTTGATAAGAAAAGTTTGATAATTCTAAAAGGAACATATGGATGTGGAAAAAGTATTTTAGCTAAAAAGGTGTTGCATAGAGTATAGGAGAAGATAAATTCAAATTAGTATAGTCCATGGAAATATGGTGAGTCTCCTCATATACTTGTATAATAATTAGATCCTATTACTAGAACATTTAAATTAAATGGATTAAGAAGTATTTTGAAATAAATATTTATATTATATGCAAAAAGAGTAGAGAAATAACCAAATATGGATTTATTTAATATGATGGTGGATGTTAATATTCATCCATAGAATATGGTTTAAATGTTATAAGAGATAGTAGGTTTGAATGATAATAGACATTTGGAGAAGTTTCCTACTAGATAATAAGAGGAGGACAAAGAAATTGATGTTAAAAGAATTGTATTTTAATTTTTAAGTAATTTCTTTGAATAAATACCTAATAAATTTACAGAATTATATGAAGGTAGATCTCCTGATTAAATTGGATGGGATGTAATGAAATCATCTGTTTAAAGATAAATTAATTATTCTATTAAATATACTAATATAATAGCACCTGTTGTTTTATGTTTAGATGATATATAAAATTATGATTAGATATCATTTAAAATTTTGAAATAAATGGTAAAAACATATGATAGATTAACAATATTAGCATTATATAGAGATTCATTTTAAGAAATGATTATTTAACCAAAAGTTGCAGAGAAAAGGAAATCTCAAGAAGATATTGCTATTGAAGGTATAACAGCATTAGAAGATATAATGGATGGAAATCCATTTATATTAATGTAATTAAGAGGAGTTGAAAGAAAAGGAGGAACTGATGATGAATTTGCTAAGATGATAAGATTTTCATTCAATATTTAGAAATTTACACCAGAATAAGAATTTCCATAAGGTATTAGTGAAAGTGGAATTAGAAAAAGAATAACTTCTTCTATTCATGATGTTATTTTATAAGAAAATCAATCAAAAGAAATTAATAATTAATTTTTATTTTTTGAAAATAAATAGACATTAATTAAAACTGATGTTGAATTATTATTTATGTAATGGATTTATATGAAAACTGGTGGTAATCCATTAATGGTTTTGAATTTTGTTTAAAATTTAATTGATTTAGAATTAATAAGATTGAGTCCAAAAAATGCTACTATAACAAATGAATTAGTTAATTTAATTAATTATGAAGAAAGTATTATTGTAGATGCTCCTTATTGTAGAATTGAAGTTAATGGTCCTATCATTGATAAATTATCATGTTTAGAATAATTATTATTAAAAGCAGCTAGTGTTATTGGAGATATATTTGATATTTAATTATTGAATAAAATTAATCCATTTAAAAATGCAGTCAATAATAAATTACAAAAATATTTAGATGAATTAGAGTCTAAAGAAGTTATTGAAGTTATGGAAGTAAGAGAATAAAATATATTTTATCGTTTTACTTGTCCTTTTATGAGAGATTGTCTTTATTAGAGAATTACATTTAAATAAAGAAGATAATTACATAAAGCTGTTGCTGAAGCCATTTAATAATTACCTTTACCTTTTGAAACTGAAGAATTAGTAGAATGTAAGAAATTATAATTTTAATGGTTAATGGCAGAATCTAATGCTTATTAATAGATTAATTTTGAAAATAATGATGATAATAAATCTAATTCTAAACCTAACTTTTTAATGAATATAATTAATCCTAAATGTACTTAAGATACATAAAAATTTTAGAATATGTCAAGTAAAGCACTTAAATCCATTATCTTAAAATAAATTGGAAATAAATTCAATAGATCTTAGAACCATGCAAATATTATTTTGAGAGAAGGAGTTTTGATTAAGAAATCTAAAAATAGAGTATCTTAGGTACCTAGATATGTAATTTTGGATGGAAAAGAACTTAAATTGTATTAAAATAGATAAGACTCTCTTAATTGTGAATTACCTTTATGTTCAATTCCACTTAAAAGTATATATTGTGTAGTGGCTTTGGAAAATGAAAAGAACTTTACATTATAAATAGGTTCAACCTATTGGTATAAATAGATGAAGGAAATGGGAGATAGAAAGTTTTTATTTGATGCAAAAGATAATGAAGATTTATAATTATGGACAATTTATTTGGAATTTGCTAAGGCTCTTGCTATTTATGAGGACTTTACAAATAATTATGGTAAAATTTGTTTTCCATTATCAAACCAATATGAATAGTATGATGCACAATTTAAATATGATATAAGAATTGAAGTATATATTATAATAATATAATAAGAATAATAAATCAATAAGAGGAATTTAAATAGAGAAAACATAAAAAAACAATAAGGAATCAATAATCTAAAGAAATAGTAGACGATCTAATAGACAATCAAAATTTACAGTTACAAGTAAACAATTTAAGTTTATGGAAAAGAATTAGACAGATGAATAATAAATATAGAGTTCTTAAGTAGTTGATATGTAATTATTAAAAGAGAGAGTAAATTTATTTTTTTAAAAAGGGTAATATATTTAATATAATTTTATTTAGTATATTACTTTTATTTTCACATATATATGAATAGTCAATTTAAAAAGCAGATGATTTTAAAATTTTAGGTAATACTAGTATAGCAATGAGAAAATTGAATAATGTATTTAAAATAGATAAATAATTGATTAATGAATAAAATAAAAAATCTAGTGCTTTTTTGCAATAATAATAAATAATAATTGAAGATAAATAAGAAACAAAATAATAAGATAATTGGGAAATAGTAATTTAGAAGGTTGATATAGATAATGATTTAACAAATAATTAAAATTAAATGTTGGATGAGAAAATATAAAAAACAGATATGATTTTTGAGTTAGAGAGAAAGAATTCATAAGATAGATTATAGGATATAGATAATGATGATTAAACACCTAAATTAGATTTATAAATTAAATCATATAAAGATATAAAGGAAAATATAGATGAAGAAGAAATAGATAATTTTTAATTAGATGGTATTTATATTATAATAATTAATATATAGAAAGTGCATTAAGAAAATAATAACATTTAAGAATTCAAAGATTATAAAATTTTAAATGTTCTTTTGGTAATGATTCATTTTAAAAAATGCATTCAGAAAGTATATTACGATCTTCACCTTTGATGAAATAAGAAGATACCTTGACTGAAGTTTTAGCTACTCAATCTTAAACTGAGAATTCTAAAAGAGAATCAACTGATATATATTAATCATCATAATAACCACCTTAATTGTTAACTAAAATATCAGAGAAAGAATCAATAACAGATGCTTCTTGTTAAGTAAGTAGACATTTATCTACTTGTTAAGTGGATAAGATAATTCCAGTAAGTAATAATTAAAGATCCAGATAAACTAGTAATATTAATAATTAATAAAATAAATCACCTCCTCATACATAAAAATCATTAACACCTACAAGTCACTCATAAAAAAATATATAATTTAATATATTGGATGATTGTAAATCTAAACCTAAATTAGATTCATAAATATCATCTTAAATGAATTCTGGTAGAAATAAACCTGCTCACTTACTTACAAATTATATTAATTCTCAGAAAACCTTCTCTAAAGATACTAAATAAAATCCATTTATTTATGGTACAGCTATCAATAATTGTAAACCAATAACAGGTGATAATTTTATTCTTAAGCCTGGTTATAAAGTGATAGTCTAAAAGATAGACAAGAAGACTTAATTAATAGAATGTTTATATGAGAATTTAGTTGGAATTTTTAGATTGAGAGATATTGCAGTAATTGAAGGTATATAAAATTAACATATTGAATTAAGATCCTTCTATTGAGTAAAAAATAGAAATTACATAAATATTATCTAAATAATCAAGTAAAAGTCCATTAACAAAATAACCATAACACAATAGACCTAAATCCTTTCTAACTCCTACTAAAAAAAATTGAAATTAATTTTTCTTATAATTAATATATTTTTATTCTTATTGATTTATTATTCTTACAATAAGAATATAAATCTAAATGAAATCATTTTCTTTATAATTTGATTTATTTAATTTATATATTAAAAAGATTAAAAAAATATAAATTCAAATGTCTCTTTCAATATTGAATCGCCTAATAAAGAAACTATGATTAAATTATTTATTTTAATAANTTAGATTTATAAATTAAATCATATAAAGATATAAAGGAAAATATAGATGAAGAAGAAATAGATAATTTTTAATTAGATGGTATTTATATTATAATAATTAATATATAGAAAGTGCATTAAGAAAATAATAACATTTAAGAATTCAAAGATTATAAAATTTTAAATGTTCTTTTGGTAATGATTCATTTTAAAAAATGCATTCAGAAAGTATATTACGATCTTCACCTTTGATGAAATAAGAAGATACCTTGACTGAAGTTTTAGCTACTCAATCTTAAACTGAGAATTCTAAAAGAGAATCAACTGATATATATTAATCATCATAATAACCACCTTAATTGTTAACTAAAATATCAGAGAAAGAATCAATAACAGATGCTTCTTGTTAAGTAAGTAGACATTTATCTACTTGTTAAGTGGATAAGATAATTCCAGTAAGTAATAATTAAAGATCCAGATAAACTAGTAATATTAATAATTAATAAAATAAATCACCTCCTCATACATAAAAATCATTAACACCTACAAGTCACTCATAAAAAAATATATAATTTAATATATTGGATGATTGTAAATCTAAACCTAAATTAGATTCATAAATATCATCTTAAATGAATTCTGGTAGAAATAAACCTGCTCACTTACTTACAAATTATATTAATTCTCAGAAAACCTTCTCTAAAGATACTAAATAAAATCCATTTATTTATGGTACAGCTATCAATAATTGTAAACCAATAACAGGTGATAATTTTATTCTTAAGCCTGGTTATAAAGTGATAGTCTAAAAGATAGACAAGAAGACTTAATTAATAGAATGTTTATATGAGAATTTAGTTGGAATTTTTAGATTGAGAGATATTGCAGTAATTGAAGGTATATAAAATTAACATATTGAATTAAGATCCTTCTATTGAGTAAAAAATAGAAATTACATAAATATTATCTAAATAATCAAGTAAAAGTCCATTAACAAAATAACCATAACACAATAGACCTAAATCCTTTCTAACTCCTACTAAAAAAAATTGAAATTAATTTTTCTTATAATTAATATATTTTTATTCTTATTGATTTATTATTCTTACAATAAGAATATAAATCTAAATGAAATCATTTTCTTTATAATTTGATTTATTTAATTTATATATTAAAAAGATTAAAAAAATATAAATTCAAATGTCTCTTTCAATATTGAATCGCCTAATAAAGAAACTATGATTAAATTATTTATTTTAATAATAATTTTAAGTAAATTATTGAATAATTTAATCATTATCTATCATTTATTAATCTATATAATTTTAATTAGGAATGTAATCATATGTTCATAGGTTTATCTTTGAACATTCTTTTGCTGCTTTTCTTATTCTAAATATATATATAGAATTAATTGGCATTCTTTTTCTAATCATTATAATATCTATTTGGTAGAAGGATCAAATTACAATATATCTCATTTAATGAGTTTGTATCTTTCATAGGATGATCCTATTACTATAGTCCAAGGATCAATTAATAATGTGAAGTATTACCACCTAGATTTCTAGCTTGAATATATAAATGTGTTAAACTTTTCTTTTGATTTTTAAACTTTCTAATTTCTCCTTATCTAACAGCATATCTTGATTTCCTATAATTTTATAGGTGGACTATATTTTTCTAAATTTTACCCTAATTTTATTATTTTTTTCTTGGACATTCTAAATAACTTAGATGATTTTGATTATATTATATTCTTATACTAATTTTAATTCCTATACTCTTTTTTATTTTCATTTTTCTCTACATAATTAAATGTAATTCTTAATGATTTAAGAGAATACACTAAATTTTGATTCCTTTACTTTTATTGTTTTGATACATATATAAATTTATTATTCAACCAATACTTCAAATTTTAATTATTTTTTTATTGATTCTGAATATGGTTAAATACCTAAATCAAAAAGAAATGGTCATAGTTAAAATAAATTTTTTTTGATAAAATTACGTTTGTCACTTAGATTTTTTTAGAACATTAATAATTGAAATTCTAAGCTACTCCAATTAAGTTACTATCAATAAAATAAGTCAGTCCAAGCGTTCTAATTCTTAAAGTTCCCAATCTTCAAAGTTTCCATTTGGTAAATACCTTCTAATAATGAATGGAATTTTATTCTCATTAAATTCTTATTCAGCTATGTTTATTGGGTCTATTGAATCCTCTATATAAGATATTTATATTAAAATACTTGGATCCACATAAATAGGACTGTTTTTGCTTATTTACAAGGCTCTTGTTCCAATAACTCTGGCAAGCTCATATTTTGTTATAAATGGAGGAGTAATTCTTTCATTCTTATTTATTTTCCTCCCTTTACTCTATTATATCATAGCCCCTGTTCTTATTATTTCATTTTATTCCTCATCTTCACTTGAATCTGAAGTCACAGATTTTTATTCTAAGAGTTTATTTAAAATGATTTAATTACCTCCAGATTCAGAGGAACCTAATTCATCCTCTTAGTCTCCTATTTCATTGCCAAAAGATGATTAGCTTCTTGAATTTCCTTCTAAATCTGAGTTATCGATTTCTGGTTCACTGTCCTAATTACTCATTAATAAAAATATATAATGGTAAAATTTGAAGAATTTTAGAAACTAACACCAAAAGAAAAGAAGAAAGCAATGGCAGAATTACATGATTTACGTGGAGCTACTTATTAAATATATAAAGAGAGGCCATTACATCACATTCAAAAAAAAGTGAATCCAAAACACAACTTTGGAATATATTCAGTCCCAAAATATTTTATTTGATTTAATATATGGACCATTTCTTAAGATTCATTAATCCCCATGTCTTTTTGGGATGTGTGCAGTTCTTGCAATTACAAACATCTAAAGAAAACGAGGCTCTTCTTGGCACAAGACTTTTTGAAAGGTTAATAAAAATAGGTGTGTCTTAAGAAAAAATTGATTAAATCATGCAACAAGACAATTTAAATGGCAAACTTGCTTCAGTTACAGAATTGCTTAAACTAAGATAAAGAGCACTTATAGATTATGTCTAAGAAAATTTATGGACAGTTGAAGAAGCTTATTAAGCATTAATAATATTATTTGATTAAGGACAATATGAGAAAGCTACAGAAATTGTTGATAATTTATATCCATGTGTTGAAGCTACTGAGAAGTTAAATCATTTAAAAAATGGATTTTTATGGGCTAGATTAGTAAATAATTGCATATATCAATTTAGAATTGTAAATTAATTGGATTGTTTAAGAACACAAATAATGCTACTACATGTATTGAAGCAATTAAGGATTTATTAAAATAAGAAGATTAAATAAAATATAATTTCAAATAAAGAGCAAATCTATTACATGCTGGAGTTTTAGTTTGTTTTATATCTGATGATACAAATGCATTTTTAGAACTATTTTCAGGTGAACAATTCTTAGAAGTAGTTCACACAATTGCACCTTATTTATTATATTATTATACAGTTGCTTTATTGATTAATTAATAATTTAATGGTAATACAAGTCTTGCTATAATTGGTACAAATGCAAATAAATCAGTTCCACATTTTCATTTATTAAATTATGTTGAAGAAATTATTGTTAAATTTCAATTCAATAATGCTATAAAAATGATGAATGATATTTCAACAGAAATTGATAAAGATTTTATAGTCAAATCTAAAAAAGCCATCATTATTAATGCATGCAAACTTTATTTCTTTTCAACTTATATCAAAATATTTAATGGAGTTTAAATAAAGTAAAATTTAATCTAAAAATATATTAGACAATTTTCAACTTATTTATAATTAAATGAAGAAGAAACTGAATCATGGTTAGTAAATGCAATTAGAACATTGAATATTAATGCTAAAATAGATGGGGATAAGATAATTGTTTAAAAATAAGATATTAATGCACAAAACACATAAGTAAATAGATTTATTAATATTAGTTATTAAAATAATTAAGAGATTTACAACCAAAATCTAATATGTTAATATCAAACCTTTAAAGAATTATTAATATTAAGTGAATCATGTAAAGTATAGTAATCATTAAATAATATAGTTAATTGTATTTTATAAAAATACTAAATCTCTCTCTCTCTTTTTTTTTTATATTTATAAGTTATATTAATATATCACAATTGACTATCAGTGCATTTCATTAACAAATCTAATATTTCTTAATTAAATTCGTTGAAATCAACATTACTTAAATTCATATCTGAAAGACAACTTATTTATTAATATAATATCTAACATGAAACTTAAAAATTTCTTTTATTATACTACATCTTTTCAATAAGTCTACATTACTTATTCTTCTTATTTGAGTTTAATTTAAGGGTATCTGAAATATTCATGAACATTTCATTTAATTTATTAATAACATCATTATTATTTTTTTTGCTTGATTAAATCTTATTCATAATTTTATCAGCATTATTTCCTATTGATAAAACATGTTATGATATTTTTTATCTTAAATTTACTATTGGATTACAAATTAGATTTATAAAAAATACACTCAAACAGAATAACATAATTGCTAAACCAAAAATTATAATAACAGCAAATCCATATTACAATAAAAATCTATTTTATTCATCCAATATTTTTTATTATAAAATATATTATTATGTTAGATTTGTGAATCTATTAATAATTAAATATAATTACAAAATTAGAGTAAAATTTTCTTTTATAAACTTTTTGCACTTTACATTTACAAATTATTAATATACTTTATTATAAAGAATTAATATTTAATCTTAATGATTCTAATCTTACTTATTTACCTTCGTCTCAATTTCTGACCAATCTGTAATATTGAAACCAGTTATAGTTTCATTATATATATATAAAATTCCCACATTATTTATTTAATTTTCCATTCCATAATGCATAACCTAACCTTCTGAATTTATTAATAAGACATTAAATTATATTTTCTGTAAATTTGGGTCAGTTACAAATACTACTGTTTTCAATATTGCAAAAAACTCTTTTTACTTATTAAATAATGATTGAGTTATTGAAAAACTATACTCCTGAGCTCCATACAAGATTTAATAAACATTTGTAAAAAAGAAATGCTCATTTTTTGTAATGTTAAATTAATCCATATGAGTTTTATACCTATATCTATTTTTAAAATATACCATATTCTATCTTATGGATTATAATTATTTACTAATAATCCTGTTGGATATAATGAATCAAACATTATTGGACTAGTGTCAACTATCTACAAAAAATTAGGCAATTATATATTGAACTCTAATGAATATTAATCTAGTTCTTTAAGTCCATAAAATAAAAGATTGATATTATCATTCAACATAATTTATTAATATTACTCACTATGGATTTAATAACAGAACTATGCAGTATTTTTAATATATTAAGTATTTTAATAGTCATCTTCAGTTAGACATAGATTTAAGTTATCATTTATGATGAACTGATTTTGATGGTTAGCTAAATAAAGTATAAAAGAAGCAATATTGTCAATAAGTTAAATGCCTTAATTTATTTATTTTTTACTTCTTTAATGCTTTTTTATTAAATAGGATTCAACATGATTTCCAATTCTATTAATCTATTTAATATCCGTAGTATTCATCATCATATTTGATGATTCTAAACTAATATCATAAAATATTATGGCTTCGATATAGATTCCTAAAGTACAAACACTTAAAACTATTAACAAAATCATCATATCAAGTATTATTATCTAAGTTTTCATCTTCATCTATTTAAACTAAGAACAAATAATCATGCACATCAAAATAGGGAGATTTAAAATATTTATTATAAAATTAGCTGTTCATTAATTAAAAAAAAACATAATTAAATTTACGATTGAATGGGGCTAGATTAATTGACGTAATTAACAATGAGAAGATTCTTAAATTAAGAAAATAAAATAATATGATAAAAATATTGAATTGTATAATTCCACTTTTTTATAGAAAATTAAATAATATATCAATATTTTAATTTATTAATCAAATGTAATAATCTTTAAAGAATCTTTTATTTGAATGAGTATTTTAATAATATTATAATCTTATATTGTATTCAAAATTAATATTATTCTTATTAATAACTATGTATTTAAAAGTAAATTTAACAATTATGTAGATAAATGCATTTTGATAATTATATGACATTTTCTATATTATTAAAAAGATATTTATAAAAAATGAATACAATTATCAACAAAATAGGTTTAACAATACCTTGGAATAATTTAAATGTAATAAATTAAAATAACATTCAATCACCACTAAATTTTTCAAGTACTTCAATTGCATTTGTATCACCTAAACTAAGGAAAGTATGCATAGCATTAGCAAATCTTTATTTTTATTAAAATAATTATAATTCTATGTAATTAATAAGATAGATACCTAATGTATCATATTTTTTAGACACAATCTCTAATTATTACTCATATTCATTCTTTTCTCTTTATAATTAATCACATTCAGTTTAAAAAGAAAATAATTTTTATTAGATATCTAGTAGATCATCATTTGATTTTTCAATTAATTTTTGGTATTCTAATATACGTTTATCACTTTCATCATCATTTTCAAGTTCTTAGATTCTTTCTCTACAATCAATTAATTATTGATTTTAAATAGTTAATTTATTTTTAAGATCTTAATTTTCCTTTCTAATTCTAGCTGCTTATTATTCAAGTTCATATAATTATTCTTTTAAATCAGTGTTAGCTTAATTTAATAATTCAAATTTTTAATCATTATTTTCTTACTTTAATCCTTAAGAGTATTACTTTTTTATTTATTCAATTTACTATTCTAAATTTATACATTTATCACAATTAAGTGGTTTTGGTTTTTTTTATTTTTTTAATTATTCTATAATATAAATATATTATATTACCTAATTCTAATTGATATTGTAAGCATTTCTGACAATCTTCAGGTTATGTTGTTGGAGTTTCTGAATTAGATTTAGATTAATTTTAGTTGAGTTATGTTTCTTAGAATTATTTTGTTTAATTTAATAATTATTGTATGTAGATCTATTATTATTTATTTTAAGTTCTTAGATGTTCAACTTCTTCTTATAATCGAATATTGTCTTCTTTCATTTACTTATTTTACTAGTCTAATTATGTAATTTAAGCTTTGGATTGATCTTCCCTAACTGTTTTTAATGATTTGAATACTATTATTAATGTTAGCTTCTGGAGTTTTAGATCTTTGATCTTAACTCAAGAAATTGATTGTATATGAAAGTGTTGCATTCGGATCAGGACATTTAGATAGAGGAGAGATCTCATCAATCTTTCCCTTTTTTTAATTTAGATATGAGGAAAAATCAATATCAATTTGACCTGCATTCTTCATACCTTTTTCATATTTGATGAGAACAATTAATGTACCCATTTTCTTTTGATACTCTTTTTGTTTGACATCATAATATAGAGTAGCTGGGACTCTTAGGATTTGATCAATTTTGGCACATTTGTTTAGTAATTGGATTGGTTATGTTTGAGCTTTTCTATCTCCTCTTTGAAACACAATCATAACTTCACAATTAGGAACAGTTATATTGATATTGAGTTGATGGATATTGACTTCAATAAGAGCTTTATTTTCAGATGTGCCAGCATGTTTAAACATAAATATTAATAATATAATAATAGATGATGAATATATTTTCAAATAATAATTAATAATCCGATTAATATGACATAAACTATAGATCCACTTACATCTTTATCGATATCATTATCTGTGCTATTATTAATTGGTGTCGTAATATTAGGTTAAGGTTTATAAACACAAGATTAACAAGTATCATTTCTATTAGAGAAATAACCAAGAGATTTTGTGTAACAATCAGAACTATTAAAAGTGTTTGGACTAATTTCTTTGCATAAATTATCTTAATTATTGAAAGCACAAAATGTAATCTAAGTCATTTAGTAATTATAAAAATAACCACAAGGATTCTAAAGTCCATAAGTTTAACATGTGTGAGATTGACAAGTAGTAGATGTAGAATTCCAATAACAATTTTTAGAATTACATAATTGTTATTAATTAGTATCATTACAATTACTCATTAATTGACATTTAGAATTCTTATATACACACTATCCATCAATACCTTTAGTACAATCCTTTTCTGTAGTGTATTATTGACATTTAAGATAAAATTGACAAAGTTTATTAATGAATAAACAATGACTTAGAGCTTTACATTAATTCTCTATTGTTATAGTTGAACAATCAAATAAAGAACATGTTGAATTCACAAATTTACATTTACCTTCTTAACTGAATGCTGTATCACAAATATTATTTGAATAAGATGAACACGTATTTTCCATAACTATACACTTGACACCATCTGAAGTACAACTTGATAATTATTAATAACATGTTGAATGATCAATTCCATATAAATCTACACATGTAATATGATTACATTAATTATCTTTCCATACACATTTATTTGATTAAATTATTAAATTATTTTATTTAATTATTCCATTCACATCTAATTTACAATTCTCTTAAAATGGATATTTTGTACATTCCAATAATTTAATACATTAACTAACTGTATCAGTTGTACAACTTTAATTAATTGAATTACATTCCTAATGAGTTTTATAATAATAATTATCACAAGATGTAAACTTTGAACATTTAGATTTATCCCATGCACAATCCCCTTCTATTCCCTTTATACATGATATTTAATTGCTGTATTCATCACATGAAGTAATAGGTATACATTTTGTTCCATCTGTTGTACATTGATTTTATAAAGTATTATAACATTCTTAATGAGTAGTGAAATTAATTGATTAACAATTTTTATAAGGTTAACAACGACCATTCAAATATAAACAATTTCCTTCTATTCCTATATTGCAATTCTATTATGATAATTTTGAACAATTCCTAAGATCAACACAAGTTTAACCATCAGTAGTACAATTTTATTATTTAGATAAACAATTTAATAGATTTCCACTTTTGTAATCTTTACATACTTTAGATCTACACATTTCATTTTCCCAAATACAATCAAAAAGTTTACTTACATCACATTAAATTTAAGTTGTGTAATCAAGACAACTACGTGCTATGAGACATCCACCACCTAATTTAGTTATACAATTCTAATTTGGAAAATACCTTTCACAATCTTAATTATAAATTAATTCAACTGGTGCCTCTTAACATTATAAATAACTGCATTATTTTTTAACAGAATTCCAACCACAATATCTATTATTAATATCAATATTGCAAGCTTATTAATATTAATTTTAATCACATGTTCCTCTTTATATACAAAATCTACCATTTGATGTACATTTAGGATTCTATATCTTACATTCTTCATCATTATCAAAATGATAATCTTAACAAATAAAATTTCTACATTTATATTATGGTTCAATACAAGTAGAAAGATAATCAGAGCATTTTTAACTTTGAGGTATTTCATCTTTACAAGTTTTGAAATTGCATTATTAATAAAGTTAATTCCAAACACAATCTTCATTAAATATTGTTTTTTTACATTAATCTTAAGTAGTATATTTTTTACAATTTGTAGATAAATCAATACATCCATTATTTGTTCCATTTACTGTACATTTTAATTAACTATATTATGAATAACAATCAGTATGTGAATAATTACTAAGTATTATTTTTTAACAATCTGCTAAGATACATTTATCATCTTACCACATACACTCATAACCATCCAACTATTTTTAACATTAGTTTTCATTTTTATATTTATTACAAGAATCTCTTAAGTCTTCACATGCATCCCCTAAATCATTAATATTACAAATTAAATCACTAAAAAATGTTAAACATTAAGTTTTTGGTTTTAATGGATCATAAGTAATTTCTGAACATTTTTTTTCATAACATCCTTTAGATTCAAACCAATAACATATTTTAAATTTATCATTCAGATAACATTATCCTTAAATTTTATAATCTGAACAATTAGGTAATAATGTTGAACAACCTCCAGGATAAGCTACAGTACATCCTGATTTATAAGAATTACATTCTTAATGTGTTAAATTATCTGTCAAATCAGTACATTATTTTTCTACACATTAATCAGCTGAATTCTATATACATCTATCATCATCTTCACATTATTATGAATTAACATAATCAGAACAATTTAATCTCTTTTTTATACACTTATCAGTTATGGTATTATTAAGTACACATTTTGAATCCAAAGTTGAACATTTTTAACCAACTGGATCAAGAGTTTAACAAATATTTTAACAAGCAGAAGTATCAGTATTCCATTTACAAAATGTTCCTGATAAATCCTTATTACCTTCACAATCATCTTTATCTAACAACTAATTACATTCATTTTTTAATTAATTACAAGTATTAGTAATTGACCAATAACAATTACTTTATGTAACACAATTTATTTTACTAACATAATAAACACATCCATCTGTAATAAGTGCTGTTTTAGTTACACAAGTGCTAGCTGTGTTCTTCTTGCAAGACATAAGATAATTTTCACATATTTCATCTGTATACTCAACTGTTGATATACCTATATCACTACATGTCTTATTAAGAATGCAAAAGTTTTCATCAAAGAGTATTAATGGATTTGTACATGTTCCAGCTACTTTTTTAATTAAATTTTAATCCCATTTTATGCAATATGAAAACAACCATCTACATTTATTATTATTTTTATCTTTTCCACCATTGCATTAATATTCATTTGTAATATTCTAACACTCCTCTACTCTATCAACACAACTATTAGGAATCAAAAATGGACCTCTCATACACTTNGTTTTGAAATTGCATTATTAATAAAGTTAATTCCAAACACAATCTTCATTAAATATTGTTTTTTTACATTAATCTTAAGTAGTATATTTTTTACAATTTGTAGATAAATCAATACATCCATTATTTGTTCCATTTACTGTACATTTTAATTAACTATATTATGAATAACAATCAGTATGTGAATAATTACTAAGTATTATTTTTTAACAATCTGCTAAGATACATTTATCATCTTACCACATACACTCATAACCATCCAACTATTTTTAACATTAGTTTTCATTTTTATATTTATTACAAGAATCTCTTAAGTCTTCACATGCATCCCCTAAATCATTAATATTACAAATTAAATCACTAAAAAATGTTAAACATTAAGTTTTTGGTTTTAATGGATCATAAGTAATTTCTGAACATTTTTTTTCATAACATCCTTTAGATTCAAACCAATAACATATTTTAAATTTATCATTCAGATAACATTATCCTTAAATTTTATAATCTGAACAATTAGGTAATAATGTTGAACAACCTCCAGGATAAGCTACAGTACATCCTGATTTATAAGAATTACATTCTTAATGTGTTAAATTATCTGTCAAATCAGTACATTATTTTTCTACACATTAATCAGCTGAATTCTATATACATCTATCATCATCTTCACATTATTATGAATTAACATAATCAGAACAATTTAATCTCTTTTTTATACACTTATCAGTTATGGTATTATTAAGTACACATTTTGAATCCAAAGTTGAACATTTTTAACCAACTGGATCAAGAGTTTAACAAATATTTTAACAAGCAGAAGTATCAGTATTCCATTTACAAAATGTTCCTGATAAATCCTTATTACCTTCACAATCATCTTTATCTAACAACTAATTACATTCATTTTTTAATTAATTACAAGTATTAGTAATTGACCAATAACAATTACTTTATGTAACACAATTTATTTTACTAACATAATAAACACATCCATCTGTAATAAGTGCTGTTTTAGTTACACAAGTGCTAGCTGTGTTCTTCTTGCAAGACATAAGATAATTTTCACATATTTCATCTGTATACTCAACTGTTGATATACCTATATCACTACATGTCTTATTAAGAATGCAAAAGTTTTCATCAAAGAGTATTAATGGATTTGTACATGTTCCAGCTACTTTTTTAATTAAATTTTAATCCCATTTTATGCAATATGAAAACAACCATCTACATTTATTATTATTTTTATCTTTTCCACCATTGCATTAATATTCATTTGTAATATTCTAACACTCCTCTACTCTATCAACACAACTATTAGGAATCAAAAATGGACCTCTCATACACTTTTTACCTTCAATAAAGGCTTCACAATTAGATTCAGTAATATCCCCTTTGTAATCTGAACATTATTTTTCACGACATATTCCATCTGTATAAATACATTTATTTGCAAAACATTAATTTTAATTTAATAATTTACATTCAACTGGCATCACAATACATCCAGTAATTTATTTTAATACAGTACATTATGATTAATATGAATTACACTTTTAATGAGTATTATAATTTTCAATTTTTGGAATAAGAGCACATGCAACTTCTATACATTAATTATCCTACCAAATACAAGGTTATTTTTTTAAATTAAAATTACATGACTTTTCTGATTTGTATGAATTGCATAATGATTAAAGTTATATACATTTGGTTCCATCAGTAGTACAGTTATTTAGATAATTATTACATTAGTAATGTGTATTATAATTTAAATATTCACACTTACTTTCTAAACACTAATTATTCTACCAAGAACATTTACTTTAAATAGATTAATAACATTGAATCTATTTAATATATTGATTACATGTATATTTGATCATCATGCATCCAATTCCCTAATCATTCAAAGTGCAAGTAGACAAATAATTCTAACATTCTTCATGAGAAGTATATTTGGTATCTCTACCAGCAGTTTCACAAGTTTTTATGTCGCATTTACCTTACCATTAACATTATCCAGTAGCTGAACATGTTGATTGAGTTAATTATGCATAACATCCATCTTCAATACATATACTACCATTATAAACACAATTAGATTAGAAATTTTTACATAATGTAACACTCTTAAAGCTAGCAGGTGCCCATTAACATTATTTTAATACACATTAATATCCATTCCAATAACAAGTTTCACCTCTAATATTTTATGAACATCCTGCTTTGTTATTTGCTTAATCACATTCTCCATTATTCCTACATCCCCCTCCAAATTATGTAATACAATTTGAATTTATCTCTTAACATTATTAATTAGTTTATCTTGTTGGACTAGCATTTTCACATGATTTAATTTTACAAGTATTATTTTCCCACATACATTAAATATTTTATTTATTATAAGTACACGATTACTAAGTGGTGTATTTATCACATTCTAATCTATCAATACATTTTGAATCCTTGCCTATAGAACATCCATTCTTTATACAATCTTTTGTTATATTTCCACATGTGTAATCATTACAAGCTTAACCATCCCAATGACACTTTACATCACCCTTCTTATTAGTTATACATTATTGTTAAATTTTTTAATCTTTGCATAATTCTCCTGAATCTTCACAACCTCCTCCTAATTTGAATGTACACCAACTTAATTATTTTCTACATTCTGCATCGTTTTTTAAACTAAATGATAACTCATTACAAGCTTATGCATTTCTACATTCCTTTTTGTCCCAAAAACAAAATCCTTGCCATTCATAATTAATATAATTATTGCGACATGAGAATCTGGTCTTATAATTTGCACAAACAGTTTTTTCTACACATTTTGAACCATCTGTTATACAAATTTCTGAATATTGTTAACATTCTTAATTTGTATTTTATTTGATTGCTGTGCATCCAGTAAAGGGAACACAAATACCATTATAATTAGCACAACCAATAGTTTTATTACATTTATCCTTCTAATATGAACAATAACTTGTTCTTATTAACGGAAGAGTTTGCTTTTAACATTCTCCTGCTACTTAATTCCATTCACAATTTATATTACACTCTTCAATTGTTTATATCTTGCTACATTCGCATTTGTTCTTCTCATCAACTGTTTCACTAAGTATACCTTAAAAAGAAATCGTATACAATAACAATAAAACGAATTTCATTTTATTTAAAAATTAGAATACAAAAACCTTAACAATATGATACATTAATTAATAATTATATTAGAAATCTTAAACTCAATTATAAAGAAACTGCATGTTTTTTACACTATGTTTTAAACTAACTTAATAGATTCTTAGTATTGAATTACTAAAATTGGTAAATTACTGATGATATGTCTAATTTTATTGTTATTAACATTTAATTAAAAATGTAAAAATAAATAGAAGAACTTGAGTTTCTTTTAAAAAAGAGTCCCTAACACAGAAGCAATGCTGAAATCAATATATTAGTGTAATTAACATCGTAGCTTCCATTTTTTAAATAGTACATGAAATAAGAAAATGGTTTATAAATTCAAAGAAAATGTTGCAAAAATATGTATTGTGAAAAATTCAAATCAAATGATATTGTTTTCCTAGTTGGTACTCTTATTACAATTACATTTTCATAGATAGTGTTGGTACCAAATTTTACATCATACTGGAAGGATCTGTTACAGTATTAGTCAGAAAAACAAATTAATCAGAAATGGAGGCTGTTAGAGTTCTTAATAAAGGTGAATCCTTTGGTGAACTAGCCTTATTACATAAATAACCAAGACTTGCTACTATTTAATGTAATACTGATTGCATTTTTGCTGTCTTAGATAAACACTAATTTAAACATATTTTATAAGAAGAATAATAAAAATAATTGGATCAAGTAAATCACTTTATTATTTTAAGAATATTGATTATTTTTCATAAATCAGAATATTTTCACATTTACATAGAACTTAATTAAAACATATCTATTTAAATTCTTTTCTATATGAATTTGAAAAAAATTAAATTGTTATTAAAGAAGGATAAAAAGCAGATTATTTTATATTGATCAAATCTGGAAGTTTTCTTGTTAAAAAAATAATGAAACCTAATTAAATAAATGTTAATGTAAATAAACTTAATAAATAATCAAGCTCTTTGAAATTGGAGAATTGTAAGTATTTGGTTTCTATCATCTCAACATTAATTTACCATATGAATATTCTCTTGTTTGTAATACATCTAAGGGTTATGCTTACAAAATTAATAGAACATCCTTAGTAGAAAGAATGTTTGAGTAATAAAGTGATGATCTTAAACTCCATAGAATTGAACTATAACAATTAGCTAATTTAAGGAGTGAAACAGAAGTCAAAACAGCACACATTTATCCACAATATTTTAGCAAAAGAATTAAAACAGATATTTCTGAAGAACAATTATAAACAAATTAACCTATGTCCATTGCTAAACGTAATCTCTTGTCATATTAAAATAAATAGAAATAGAGGATGAATCAAATCAAATTATAAATGGATCTTTAATCATAAAAATTAAGAAAACAACCCATAAAAGTATCATATGAAGTTACAACTCATACTCAATCTGAGCTCTTTCTTAAAACTCATCGATGTTATAACTTTGTATCATAAGAATCAGACTCTTAAATGCACTAATAATAATAATAATATTAATAATAATAATAATAATAATAATAATAATAATAATAATAATAACCATAACCAATTAACTATCCTAAATTACCAAAAAAGTTAATGATAAAAACACAGTTCCCTGAAGAATATATAGATAAGTTATCTTGTGATAGTCCTTTAAGTTCAACTTAAACATAAATGAAAAGTTTAAATGGTTTAAAAAAAATGATATTACCTAATGCACAAAATAGAATAAAATCACGAACCTTTTAATCATAGTTAAGTTCGTCTCCTCTCTTCAAAACTATAAGTTGCATACTTTAACAACGATATTCAAGTATTACATCCAGCAATCATTATATTTGATTTTTTATTATTGTTTTTTTGTAGTATTTTAAGTTAAATTAAGCATTTTTAATTAAAACAATTAGTATTATTGAAAATAAAAATAAAAAAGGATATCAAATACAAATTTTAATTATTAAAATATAATTATTTAAGTTTGGCTATTATTATTTGATTTAAGAATGTGATTTTATTTCAAAGTGATATAATTACTATGATTCTATATTTAAATAATCAATAAATATAGTAATAACAAAAAATTTGACAGTAATAAATTCTAAATTATATTAAAATTGAATATCCAAAATAAAAGAGAAAATAATATGTGATGATTGATGTCTAAAATTAATTTAAAGCTTATTTTACGAATGATACAGCAGAGATTTGTTAGATATTATTCAATAAAATTTTTCAAAATTTTCATAAAATTTTATTAAGGATTTAATAGATGAATTGAAATATACTAAAGTTGTTTTTCTCATAGAATTACTTATAATGTATTATATGGAAAATTAGTATAAATCATCTTTCACTAGAGAAAATTAAGAAAATCTAAAGTCCCATTAAATATTAAATATACTAATTACCGCATTTCAAAAGCTTTTGACTTTTTAGATTTATCTATTAATGAAAAGGATTTTTCAACAATAAAATATCTTATTTTATATTGGAAAAATCATCAAATGCAAAGATAGATTTTGAATAACTGTTTAATTAATGGAATTCAAAAAATAATTAGGTAAGTAAAAGATAATAAACTTAGCAGAAAATTAGATAAATTAAAAGTAAAATATTTTAATAAATACGATATGTCATATTAGAAGAGTTCAATTTATGCAGAATTCTATTAGATAATTAAAGTCTCAAATTGAAAAAATTGAAGTTTAAAGAATATTTCAATTTTCTTAAAACAACATGTTACATTTTCCAAAAGATTTAACATATAAAAATCAATTAAAAAGATAAATAGGTAAAATAAAGCGATTTTTTAGAATAGTAGTTATTAGATTTGTTTATCAACTCTAAATAATTAATTATTGATTAAATTGAATAGGATTATAATTATGCAGTTAAAACAGCTTAAGTAATATTAATTTAATTAAAACACTCATTTTAAGCAATTGACACATCCTTCACATCTACATTAATGTGTACATTATAAATTATTTTGAAAGCATTCACAATATTTTTTTTAGCATCCTGATTTTTTGCAATTGCATCCTTTAAAGGCTTATTTGAATGCCCCTGGATCTCTTGCTTTTATTTATAATTTTGCTTCTTTTCTTTAAGAATTATTGAGAGAATTATTAAAACATCCAACACAATTGCAATTTTCAGAGCATACCTATCCGTTAGCAAAGCAATCACAATACTGTTTTAAACATTAAGATTTTTTGCAATTACAAGATCTAATTTAGAAAATATATTTACTTAGTGCTTGTAATAATTTTAGGGAGATTTGGAGGTGGAAGAATAATTTTAATTGGTCTATAGATATTTTTAACTTATAACTAAATATTGGTTTCTACTGTTTCTTCCTCTATTTCTATTTTGTTAGAGGGACATAAGATCCTAAAATGAGAATAAAATGATACCTAAATGACGAGTCTTTGCTAACTTAAAAGGATCTCATTTAGATTTAAAATTTGAATTATTTATAATTCGTTAAAAATTTATTCATATAAATCTGTATATGAATCTACTTATAAATATTGAAGGTTGATCCTTTTAAATAGAGATGCCCTTGTAGCTCAGTTGGTTAGAGCGCGAGTCTCATAATCTCGAGGTCGTGGGATCGACCCCCACCAAAGGCATATTTTTTTTATTTTAAACAATATAAATTATTTAAATATATATTCATTCAATAATAAATATATTGAAATGAGGCTATTCATCTTTATTATTAATAACAGCAATATGATTCTTGCCAACTTAGATCATTTTTGGATTGGTATTATAATTATTAATAATAATTTTATGATCTCTATACACTTCTATTTCTTAATTGTTTACCCATAATCTAATAGTAGAATCACTTGCACCTAATCCCAATAAATAATCAGAACAAATGATATCACAAATACCAAATTAAGAAGTATTTAACTTTAATTTGATCTCTCCATTCATCCAATCCACTACTGAAACTTTATTAGAAGTTCCTCCAAAAATGATACTTCTTTCAGAATACTTTTTTACACATAACACAGCTCCCTCAGTTTTAATGTCTCTTAAGTAAGAAGCAGAAACTATTTCTTCTCCTTCAAAATATAATTGCCAAATAGCTAAAGTTCTATCCCATGAACCAGTTACAACAATATCTCTTTTGACAAGTTGTAAACATGATACCATAGCTGTATGTTTTTTCAATGCACAAAGAGATTTACCTGAAGTGACATTCCAAATGATAGCCAAATTATCATAACTACCACTCAAAATGCTATGATTATCGGATAATTCAATTAAAGATGTGATTCCAGATTAATGTCCTGTTAATTTATTAATCTACTTTCTAGTTGACAAAGACCAAATAATTATTGAAGAATCAAGGTTTCCTCCTCCTGAAATCAATAATTTTTCTTAGAACATACAAAGAGCTGTAACTTAATCAACATGACCTTCTAAAGTATAACTTTATTAAGGAACTTCTAAATTATTAATTCTTATTGTTTTATCTCTACTACCAGAAGCTATATTTCTTTAATCAACTTATAATAAACTAGTAACACCTCTCATTTAAGCTGTTTCAACAGTTCTATAAAATTTGATGCGTGATTAACTTGAAATTCTACTTTATTAACTGGATTAGAATTTTAAGGCTTATGAATTAGTATTTTCAATTCCAGCATTATAAACAGGTGAATTAGGTTAAACAGTTTCAAATAGTTTTGGACTATCATATTATCTTTGTGTTTTTGTTAATTTATGATCAGAATTTTAATTCTTGACATCGCTTAGAACTAGAATAGAATTATATATTAATAATACTGTTCAAAGATTCATCAGGATTTTAATATTGAGTATTTCTTGATAATATTAAATCTTTCAAATTGATTTATACTTTAAATTCATCCATAAGTACTTCACATTATTATCTAATTGAATTCATAATTTCAACAAAGTTTTATTCTTATTAAAATGTTGGATTTTCTGGATCAGTTTAAGGTGTTTCTGCCCATTATTTTTCTAATTCTTCAACTATTTCATTTTAGATTTAAAATTCTTAAAAAGTATCTATAAATGCTAAATTTTTGCCTAAGTCTTCAGGTGGTAATAATTTAATTTTCAATTCAGAAACATAAGTATTGCATTCTCTATTTTATTTGGATAACTCTTCTAATTTATTTAACATTTCTTCTTTTGTTGGAAGTGGAACTAAACCATATCTATGTTGAATAGATTAAACTAAAAAGTTTAACGAATTTTAATATTAAAGAAATCTTTCATCATAGTGTTCATAAAGTTCAGACTTTACTTTTTCTAATAATTATGTTAACAAATTGGATGTATCAGCTATTATATAATCAACCCAACATTTTCTGTTATTGATCTATGATTCATATCTATCAATGAATTCTTATTTAGTATGTAATAATTTTAAATGTCCTTCTATGGCTAATGCTTAATCTTTTTTTCTCTTCTCTAACACATTTCTGAACTCTTCATCTAGTCTAGTGGTGAAATTATCAAAATCAATCTAAATTTGAAATTCAAAAATACCATAACATCTCTATGATTTCTAGCATGATCAGCTTCATCAATCATACATTCCCAACATAATGTAGGATCTCTTTTACAAGATGAACTTGCACATATTCTTTCAACATATGAATTTGGATGATACTTACAAGGAATTTTGAGCATATAAAATATAACTATAAAATATTATTTATAAATTATCAACTATTTTAGCATATAAATAATATTATTTTGCAAATAGCATAAAATATATGTGTGGTTTTAAATCAATCTAATTTACATATACGCCAATCTTTTTCAGAACTATCTGATTCTCTTCTTTCTAAAACATTGTATTTTACAACATCTTTCTTACTTTCTGGATCAATAAAATTAAATTTAACAGTAATTTAATGCCATGTTTATGATGATTATAATGCCATCTTCTTTTATGAAAATAATCTAGCCTAAACTAATTAAGCATCAGTCATTTCTTTATATAATTTAAAAGGCAAAGGTTTATTATCTTTAAGACTTGCTTTTACAATCTAATATTTCATATATTACAAATACATCATATAATGGCACAGACAATAATCTAATTAAATCTACTTTATCCTTTCTATTATATGCTTCTAAAAATTCAAAATATCTATCTTTTGCAAATAAAGGAAACTAACTTCGTTTAAAATCTAAATAACTTTGATACTTCTATTACCAATAAAACAAGATTCTGTTTAATTCAAAGCTAATCTAGTTTTCAATGTGTTCTTTAAATATGGCAATATACCAGATCCTTGAGATTCAAATAAATCGACAATCATAGGAGATGATATTTTAGAAGATATTCTTTCAGCTTCCTTTACTGCTTTCTTCATATTATTTTGGATATTTATTAATATCACTAAAATCAATTGGATAACTTTTTTTTCTCTTCTTCCAAAATTTCCAGATTTCTCTTGACTTCATTAGGTAAATCTATAAGACTTGGATACAATGTTGCTATTGTCTACCATTGTGGCAATACAAATGTATCTAAGTATTATATATATATATATTAAAAATTACTTAAGAAAAATGTTTAACCATTAAAGAATGTGATTTTATCCTTATATTACAACATTGCAGTTACTTCTAATCCTTTTGCTGCTTCTTTTATAGTCTATTTTTAATATATTAAATACTTAATCTTAAAATTCTTAAGCTAACAAAAAGGACCATTTCATATAAGCATCCCATTCCAAACATGGATTTGAAATATCACAAGCATGAACCAATACATTTAATATAAACTAATTTAAATATTAATAATTACTTTTCTATCATCAAAATTTTCTTTATTAAATCCTCTAAATTTAATTAATGGATCAATTATATTTTGATTTTCACGTAAATCAATAGTTGCATTTACTCTATCTTTAAAACTACCAAAGATATTAAAATGTTATCCCATATCAGTAGCTAAAATAGAGCTGACTAAAATTCTTTTAAATTCTTATTATTATGTATTTGGCAATTAATTTAAAAAATTTAGTTATTGATTTTGAGCCAATATATTAAATAAAGTTGAAACATGCATACTCTCAAGAACTGCTTGTTCACATATATTTTTATTTAATTTTTTTGATTTTTTAACTTTGTATAAATTATTTACTCCCTCTTTAATATTATTTATTCATATATTACTATGATTTAGATCATGACTTAAACTAGCCATCAAAGCTGCAAATATGTCTTATTTAGATACAAAATGTTTAAGATCAGATTTCTCATATACACAAAATAATAACTAATATTATTGTAATTATTACTTAAAATAATGCAAATGCATGAGTAAAATTATGATAAGAAACAATATTGTAATTTAGATTAATTTATGTCAATAGATTCTCTAAATTATTGTAATTTGCATATTATTCAACCTTAAAATTTTTAATTAAATTATATTACTTCCAAATGTTAGAATATCATCATTGATGCCTTTAACATTTCTCTACTTGTATAATGGTGATGATCGAAATTAAAATTAATTAAATCCTCATATTCTTCATAAACTATATGTTATTACTTAGTGTTGCTATTTTTTTACTGAAATCCAATTTTACATCATAAACTAGAGGAACAAATGTTATATTCAAGGATTTCCATTTTTTTATGAATGCATGATAGTCAGTCTAATTTAGTTTTAATTCATTTTCTAATCTTCTTCGAAATCTTTTCAAAGCTCTAAAAACTTAATTCAATTATTCTTAATTCTCTGATTTAAGAAAAGGAACACAACTCTCAAAAAGTTTGAAAGTATTTTGAAATTCTTTATTAGGCATTTGATAGCTAGTTTTTATTTGATTTATATGTTGTTGAATCTATTACAAACTCATTTTAAATTATTTAATATTAAACAAATACAAATATATTATATTGTTAATCATAAATAATCATAAATTTTAATCTAATAATTAAATTTTAATTTCATTTATATGAATAGATTAGCAATTAAACTCTTCAATTTTTCTAGTACTAACTCAACCCCTATATAATGGATAAAGAATAAATTTAATTTAAAAAATACAAGAGGATAATTTATATTTAATGATATTGAAACATACATTTTTGGAAATCAATTCAATTCAAGTAAATATTATTAATATATTTCTAGAAATTCAATGTGATTAAATTTTAATTAGATATAATTTTCTAATTGTTCATATTTGGCTAGTTTAATAAGCATTATAATAACATTTGTTAAAAAATTATGTTATTAAATAATAACTTGAAAGTATTTTATATAAATCTGCCTCTAATTATATTTATTAATTTGATGTAAATATAAATATAAAATTTAGGATAATTATAATTAAGAAATGAGATAAGAGCTTGAAAGAAATTAAGAAGTCTTATAATTTGTGTTAGATGATTATTTTATTTATTAATTTAAGAAGAAGAGTTTAGAGTAAATTGTATTTGAGTAACTACATTATTTCATTTAGAGATATTTTGCTACGTTAACAAAGTGAAAAACAAAAAATAGACAAAATTTGTACTTATATCATTAATAATGTATATTTATTATTAAATATAAGTACAATCATATGTTAAAATATGATCAAAGAGTATTAAGGGGAGAAAAAGAAAAGATCATATGGGTTGAATGAATATCAATTGTATTTATATAAGAATTTTCATATTCATTTATTTAGAAAAATTTATGAAATATTTCATAAATATCATCAAATTTAATCCTAATCTAAAGAAGAATCTAAGATATTTATATTAATAGTATAATAATTAACTTAAAAATTAATTATAATTTAATAAAAACTAAAAGAACCCACAGATATATGAATGTTTATTTTTAATAATCAATTTAAAATAGTGAACTATTAGAATTTATATATAATTTTGATTTACAATATATACCTATTGTTAGGAATACATTCTTTTATAAATAAATATAATGTGATTTATTGACAATAATAACTTATAGTAGTTTATTAATAATACTTAATAGTTTGAAACTTAAGAACCATTTGGTTATTAAAATACAATTGTTTTAATTAATGAGTTAAATTATTTATATTATTTTTTTTAATTTATAAAAATGATAGGAATATCGTTGTGTTGTTTATCAGAAGATTGTTTTAGAGTTTTAACTAATTAAGATAATTTGCTTAATCATGTAACTCATAAAGTAGTTACTTCATAATCTATTATTGAAGCTTATAAAGTATCATATTCAATAATTATTGAATTAAGAGTTAGAAATATTAAAAGAATTAGCAGATGGAGTATATCTAGAATTATTGGAATAACAACGTCATCAACAATTAAATTTGAAAGAGTTTATCAAAACTTTAACTTCTGAAATAATAGATTTTTAGTAAAATATTATTTAACAGACATAATAATTAATTGATCATTTAAATTCTGTCAATGTAGGTGAATTAGTTGATTAAGAAATAATTTAAAATTATAAAAATATATTAAATAGATAGATAGATTTGAATAATATTAATCAATTAATAAAAATTGTGTAACCTTAATATACTTTCAGTGAAAAACAATTAAAAGATGGTAATAATGATATTTAAGGATTTGGAACAAGTATGAATATCAATATACAAAATAAAATTAAAATTATGAGACCAAAATGTTACTACAAAGATGTTTAAGAGAAATGTTAAATGTAAGGTTAAAGAATTAAATTTATCTAATCAAAACTTGAAGAATTAAATATAGATTTTAGATAATAACTTAATTCATGGATAAAAACTGTAGAATCCTTATTTTCATTTAAATAAATATCATAATTTACATTGATGCCATAAACCAAATCAAAGATCATTAAATAACCAGCATTGGCTAAAATAGAGTTGCATAATATATATAAAGTATAATTATATCATTTATTATTGAGGATACATTAATATATGCCTAATAAAATCAAATTCACCTTTTTGGAATTGATAATTTGAAAATGAGTCATTCAGTAAAATTTAATTAATCTGTTATTGATTATACAGTGGATCCAGAAAAATTATTAATTGCAATAATGATTGGTTTAGATTTACTACTATTTAATCTTATATCTATGAGATAAATTAGACATTTTAAAATAACTATAGATATTTCAAAAGGAGTTGCTTTAAAATTCTTTGAAGTATTTTATTTAAATATAATTTAGAATTAAATTTGTGTAAGTTCAGGAGTTTCTTTATAATTTTTTCCTGTTTTTCCATCTCTATCTATGCCTTAATTTTCTTAAGCACTTAATTTTCATTCATATTGGGATAAAATTAAGGTTTTAGAGTATTGTGTAATAAATAAATTTGGAGTTTAAGAAATGTTACTTATTTTAGGAACAATAAGTGGATTAATATCATTATTTAATTCAAATTTCAAAGAATTATTTTCAAAATAATTTCATCAAGGTTCAATTAATTAATTTAGATACTAATAATCAAAAAAATATGGTAAAATTTTATTATCTATTGGTGATGATTTAAGGATTAATTTATATAATATTGAAAATACATTTCTAAAATGCATTTAAATGATAACATTTGAATCTCAAATTTTAGATGTGCTATTATTCAAAAATTATTTTTTAGTCACAACTAAAAATTAAAATCTACTTGAAATTTATTAGATTAATGAAAGAATGGATTGTAAAAGAATTGATATGGATGGAGAATTCAAGTTTGATTTTAAAGATAGATTATTCAATATTGGAGAAAAAGTAATTGTAGTTAAGAATTAAATTTACTATTGTAAGCTTCTATGAATGTTCTTCTTAAATTTAGATTTTATATATACTTTAAATCATTATTTAATATATTACTATACATTTATTTTAAAAATTAGAAAATGCATAGAAGGAATCCAATACATAGATTATTTTGCAGTTAAAATTGGACAATTAAATCATAAATTACACTATTCTCTGTTCTTTATATTGCTTTTTGCATTTTAATAACAACTACTTTGCTTGTGATCTTCTTGAATTTTACAAAGGACTCTTTGACAAAAAGTACATTAACAATGGAAAGGTTAGAAACAACGAATTAAATGTCTCGATATAATTCTCTATAAACCTAATCTTTCAATAGAGTTCTGAATTTTAGTTACTAGACTTTATCAAATATTGACAAATTAAATCACTTTATTGAAATGTAGAGATAAAACAATTTTGAGATAACTTAACCTACGAATTGCATTGATAATCCAAAGCTATGGGATAAATATATTTTCAATTGTAGTTTATGCTACAAATTTTGTAATAAAACTATGTTGATAGATGAGTCTAATTATTAATAATACCTTTCATTAATATCTCTAATAACTTAGACTCTTCCAATATTGAATTTATATAGATAAACATTTTTTACTAGCACAGGTTTTGAATAATTCTTTACTGTATTTAAAGGAGGAGATTATACTAAATTTGTAGCTCATATAAGACCTTGGTATATAAATCATATGAATAGAACTAAGTATGAAAATCATAGATTCTATTTATCTGATTTATATTTGGATTGGATTAATAAATTAGCAATTGCATTTACAGTAAGTTTGACTAATTTAGAGGGTGATATGATAGGAGTGATAGGATATGATTTAGCTTTTGATTTACTTCCCTATTTTGTAGATTAACGATTAAAAATGGAAATTGTTAATTCAACAGGTCATTTATTAGTTAGTAGCTATTATGAAGAATTCAAATATCCTACTGTAATTTATAATACTTCTTTAACGGGATTCACAAAATATGATTGGCAAAAGATGAAATAATTTGGAGATGATGATAATATAGGAAGAGGTACATTAAGAGTAAAGAATCGTAAAACAATGGAATTTAATGAAGTATCAGTTTATAAAATGGAATATCCTTAATTTTATATTATTATGTATTTATATGTTATAACTAGTTATTAAACAGATGATTAATTTATAAAGGATCAATAAGCAATTTTAGATAATTTAGCTAAGTTTGATGAAAGCATTTTATTAGGAACTATATATTTTAGTTTAATAATTTTATTTTCAGTATTGTTGATTCAGTTCTTAATTATTAAATATGTTTTAAATCATTTAGAATCATTAGTTTTAATAACAAAATAATAAATATTCTTAAAATAAAGAATTAAAAATAAAAATGTAGCAATTAATCCTGATAAAGATAATACTATATCTAAATTATGTCGATCTTTTTTAAGATTAAATTAAAATTTAACTAATTTTAAATGGAAGAAATCTAAATTGTGTAGATCTATATAGAAAATCAATTATCCTAGAAAGAATTCAGGAATAGATTCATAAATGTGTGAGAATTTCAATAATTAAATTAAACAATAAATACAATAATTAGAAGACTATGAAGATGATAATTTTACATGTTTCAATAAAGATTTGTTTAAGAGACTCATTTCCAGAAATAAGTATTTACATAAGTTATTTATATAAAAATATGGTACTCAGTGATTATTTTAATTAATTTTACTTTCATATATTCGTTTTTTAATAATTAATAAAACTAAAATGAAAATAATCGTATTGATTGTGCTGATAGGAGCAGCTCTAGCAAGAGATGAATATTTCTTTGCTTAATTAAGAGATTCAGAATTTGGAAAAACAATTATATAAACAATATAAGTATAATTGCTTTAAGAACATCCTGCTGATACAGTTGTTCATCTCCTTAAGCAAATGAAGGATGACCTTCTTAATGAATAGAGAGCTGAAGATGAAGATGTGTAAGTGGCATTGTAAAGTTGTCAAACAGCATCTGAATAAGCAGCTGCAGTAATAACAGTTGCTAAGGAAAGAAAAGCAACATCAGAAGATAGATTGCCTTTATTATAATAAGAATAAAATGATAAGAAATAACAATTATTAGATAAATAAGGAGAAGAGTAAAGAAATTTGGATAGAATTAGTGTATTGCAAGAGGCTCGTAATGTTTAAAGAGTAAATTAAATATGTTAATAATTATTAGAATGAATATGAATAAAGAAGAGATGAATTAATAGGATTGATTTCAGCCTTATAAGAAGCCAAATAAATTTTATCATAAGGAATTACATCATTAAAGAAGACTAGTTTTGCTGAATTAAAGAGTCATCATTAAAATTTCTTGAAATATTATCCTCACAAAAAGGGATTCCATACTATGGTTAATATGTTATTGGAAGTATTATAAGATGAAGGAACATAAGAAAGTGCAGCATAAAAAGTTGTTAAAATTATTGACACACTTGTTGATAGCATATTCTAAGTTTAAAAAGAAGAAATGAAAGCAGATGATGGAAGAGAATTAGATTTTTAAACATAAAAAGAAAGATTAGTATTAGCCAATAGAAGATTAGAAGGAAGTATTGCAGAGCTAAATGCTCGTTATTTAGTTTTGGGATAAAAGATTTTGGAAGTAAAAAATGATATAGCCACTTAAGATTCTGTAATATTATATTATTTAATATTAGGTTATATAAAATAAATCAACTGAAAAAGGAGATTGGGATTAAACTTGTAATGACACTGAAAAAGCTCATAGATAATAAACTGATTCAAGGTAATTTATAATTCAATTTTTATTTTATAGAAATTCTTAGCTTGAGATTATTGTTGAATGTATTGATATCTTTGAAACAAGATTTGACATGGAAACTAAAAGCTATATTCAACGCATAAGATTCTGAAAAAATATTAATACCAATAAATAAAAACGGATTTTATTATATATAAATATATGAAAATTTCGATTTTATTGTCTCTATTAGTTTTAGGATGCCTGACAATGGACTTTGATCAATAGATTGAAGAATTATAAAACTCTAAGTTTGGATAAACAATTCTTTAAACTATTATGATGGAGCTATAAACTGAAGACCCAGTTGTGTCTAATCTTATTAATATGGTACAAGGTATTGAGACAACACTTGAAAATGAATAATAAAGAGATGATGATCGTATAGTTAGGATAAGATAGAATTGTGATATAGATATCACAACCCTTAATAATTAAATTAATCAAAATACTATTGCATCTCTTGGTCTTAAGAGTCAACTTGATTCCTTGAATCCATAGAAAGTTTAGGCTGTTGCTAGTTTGGAAAGAAAAAATAATGAAATTACAGATCTAAAGGCTGAATTGCAATATTAATCTCATAAAAGGGAAACTGAGACTGCAGCCTATGAAACTATTTTAGATAATTTAGAATAAGCTTTATTTGGAGTTAATTAAGTGAAAGGATATTTCAATAGTTACTTAGATATTCTAGTCAAAAATAGAAAAAGATTTGAAAAACCATCATTTTTAGAAGAATCATATAGTTTTAAATATGAAGAATCAGTATAAGATGATTCTGAATCAAGATCATTAACCTCTTTAACTTAAGTTGCTTAAAAAGTCAACAAAATAAAACATCATGTATATATCATAATATTATATTATAGGTTTAATTAGAAGGATATGCAAGTATGCTTGAAATAATGAGTGAATTAGCATCTAAAGCTGCAGATGAACCTTCATAAGCTGAAGTTTTAACAAGAAAGGTTCTTTCAGTATTGAAATAAATAGAAAATTACATTTAATCTGAAAGAATAAGAGAGGATTAAGCAGAAGCTCTTAGATAAAGTAATTTTGATCTTCTTAATACTCTTTTATCTGATTAACTTGTATAAGCTAATTAAGATAAGACATATATGGAAGGTATAAAAATATTTATAAATTATAGGTTTGGTTGCTTCTTTGTCTAATAAAATTACCTAAGGAACAAATGAGAAATTTGAAGTAGATCAAAAAGTAGCAATAAAAACAAAAGAACTTGAAAATAGAAAAACTGATTGCAGACTTAAAAATAATGAATATGAAACTGATACTTAAAATAGGTAATTAAATAAAAATAAATTAGAATCAAATAAAAAAGAGTAGTTGTCGTTGCAGTTGATTTAATTTCATCTAAATTGGGTTAGCTTAAGCGTAAATTGCTTGAAAATTGAATTATTATAAAATAGTGACATAATTAATTAAGAATAAATTTTTTCTTATTATGTAATCTCAAGATGAATACATCAGTTTACCAAAAGTCAAACCTAACAAATTTGATAATTAAGAGATAGATTTAGTTTGGAAAAATCTATCAGTAACAATTACAACTGTATAATCATTATTATTTATAATTTATAGAAAGCTTAATCTAATAAACCAAAAGTGACAGATCCTTTACTAAGTTATAATAATGAGAAAATAATTCTCAATGATGTTTCAGGATATGCAAAAGCTGGATAAATGACAGCAATTATGGGACCATCTGGTGCAGGAAAAACAACCTTAGTTGCTTTATTAAGCAAAAGATATAAGCCTGGACCAAATACATATATTAATGGAGAAATATTAGCAAATAATAGTAAATATAAAAGATTCAATGATTTTGGAGCTTTTGTGATATAGGATGATTTATTGATGGGAACTTTGACTGTAAAAGGTATTTAATAATTATAATATTAGAAACACTTATGTTTGCAGCTAATATGAGATTAAAGGATAATTTAGCATAAAGAATGTCTAGAGTTGATTAGATAATTAAAGATTTGAATTTGAGAAGTTGTTAAAATACTTTGGTAGGAGATAATATCATAAAAGGAATATCTGGAGGTGAAAAGAAAAGAACTTCTATTGGAATGGAATTAATTAGTGATCCTTAAGTATTAATTTTAGATGAACCAACTTCAGGTTTAGATTCTTTTACAGCATTTATTTGTATGAATATTCTTAAGAAAATCACAATTAAGTATTAAAATTTTAATTAAATTTAGTTAAAAAAGGACAGTCATTTTTACAATACATTAACCAAGTATTGATATTTGTTAATTATTTGATCGTATGATCATATTAAATAATGGATAAACAATATATTAAGGAAATTATGATTTTCTATTAGATTATTGTCTCAAAGTAAATTTAAATGTTGATATTCATTCAACTCCTTTAGATTCTATAATGAATAATCTTAATGATGCATTTAATTAAGGAGATAATAAAGTTACTCATGAAAATTATAAATTATATTTAGAAAAAGATACACAACAATTCTGTTCTCAAAATCAAGGATACAATAAAAGAAAAACTTAAACTTCTTTTTGTTAAGAAATGAAATATCTTATGCAAAGATAATTCACTAATTATGTTAGAAGTCCTAATTTATTAAGAAGTAAAATATTTGGATCAGTCTTTATGTTATTATTTTTGGGATGGCTTAATTGGATGGTTGGAAAAGATTAACCTCCTTAAGATGAAAATGTAAGTATAGGTGATTTGAGCAAATATTTAAATAATATGAGAGGAGCTTGTTTTGTTTGTGGAACTTCAGCAATATTTTCTGCACTAGGACCATTATTAATGTTATGTATAAATTTTATTTTATTTTAGTTCCAATTGAAAGAAACATATTTTTAAAAGAAGAGAATTCTAAGATGTATCGAGTTTCTTCATATTTTTTGAGTAAGGTTTTCTTAGAAGTTCCTATGAATGTTTTTATATAAATCTTATTCTCAATAGCATTGTATGCTGCATTTGGATTTATTTGGCAACTTGAAAACCTTATACTTTTTACTGTTATAAGTGTTTCAGTTTCATTAAGTGGAAATGGATTAGGAATGTATATACATCAAAATTATCATTAGATTTACTGGATGTTTATTTAAAGATGCTAAATAATCTGCTTCATTAGGTCCTATATTATTGATCCCACTCTAAGTATTTAGTGGACAATATGCTAATTTAGCATCTATTCCTAAATTTATTAGTTGGGTCTAATACATATCAGTAATATATTTATAATAAAAATAGCCATTTAAATATTTCTTAGAAGGATTTGGTAGAACTTAATTAAATGATGCTATGTTTCACTTGGATCCTACAGGAGTAGAGATATCTCCATGGGATTATTATGGTATGCATTTTGGAATGTGGAATTGTGTCATAGTTTTAATATCTATTGCTGTTATGTTTCATGTTTTTGCTGGTATCTTTTTAAAACTCTTAGTCAATAAACTTAATGTTTGAAATTTGAGTTATTTAATATATAGATATAATAATGTTAATAATATTAAAGATTCTGTTAAAAATATAAAAAAGAGTAATAATTAAATTGCAATAATTATATTTTATTTATATCATAAATGAGTAATGCTTTCAAATCAGCTGGTAATAATCTAACTAAAGGTGATCTTGGATAAACAGGTTAAAGTTTTGCAGGATCACAAAATCCTGCTTCTCTAAAAGGAAAATTAATGAGTTTAGAAGTATCAAAATATATTTATAATAGGAAACAATCAAAGGTATTTAAGATGAAATGAATTTTCATAAAAAAGAAGTGTAAATATTGAAATCTGAAAAAGATACTTTAGAATCTGTTTTAAGTATGAAAACATAAGATGTAAAAAAAACACTAACAAATGAATTAATGAGAATTGAAGAAGAAATGAAAAGGTATTATTATTTAATGATTATTTTAGACATTTTGCACATTAAAAGGCTGAAAATTCTAGACTTTAATAACAAATAACAGCATTAAAAGGTGAAAAAACTGCATTATAATAATAATTGCTAGGATTATAGAGAAGAATAGCAGAACTTGAATTATAAGTTGGTTAAGAATAAGCTTGATAATTATCATATTCATATATATAAATGATCACATACATATGTTGTTTTTACATGTTCAGCTTATTCTTAGCTTGTAACACCTGTAGTTACTAAAATAGTATCTATTCCACAATTCCATCCAAACTCAATATCAGTTTCAGGATTATCACCAATCATTACAACTTTTGATTTATCATCAATCTTATTTTATTTCATTATTATTTCTAATGCTTTAGGTGAAGGTTTGCCTACTAAAAGAGATTTTTATCCTGTTGCTCTTTCCAAAATTGCTTAAATACATCCTCCTGCTGGCATCAATCGATTCTATACTTTAATATAGCTATCAGGATTAGCTGCCACAAATTTACATCCCTTTTGAATGCATAAACTAGCATAACATAACATATAGTAATTAAATTATGGATTATGACCTGAAACAACACAATCAATATCTTCATCAGGTTATATACTATTAAATATGTCATATGTAACATATTAATTATCTTTAAATTCTTCAGAATCTCTTGTTTTAATTCCTAAAGCTGATAATTCTTCTGTTATTCCTATTACTCCTAAATTAAATGCTTTTTTATAATTATTCATTTTTAGATAAACTGCAGTTAAATATGAACTTGAATAAATATGATCCAAATCTGTTTTTATGTCAATATTTGATAATATTTCAAAATAAGATTATCTACTTTTCGTTGAATTATTTGTTAAGAAATATACTGATTTTCCTTTTTCAATTAAATGTTTTACTCCATTAACTCCACTTTCAATAAATTATCCACCTGTCCACTGATATATAATATAATATTCATACAATAACACCATCCATATCAAAAATAAAATGGTCATATTTGTTAATTATTTCTGTCACAGATTTAATTTTAATTGACATAATATATAAAATAAAATTAATAATCAATATTATGATTATTGAGATTTTTCCATATGCTTAATGTTTGCATTAAAATTTTTAATTGAATTGCATATTCCCACTTTATTACTATTATCATCATTTACTATTGATCTATCTATTCCTTCAGTTTATAATTTCACTTTCCTATTAGTATCTCTAAATAATTGAGGAGCACAATTTTTATGTACACTTTATTGTAACTATTAGTAATTTTACTGTGTATTTTAACTTGACTAAATTTACTATGTTTATTCTTAATACTATTTTAATTCTCTCTAACATTGACTAAGATAATTCCAAAATTTACATTAGTTTTTATTCCAATTTTAATTTCTCTGTAATTTAATATTCTAATTATTACTAAAATATTTCTTTATCTTTCTACTATTCCTATTCTATTAATTCAAGTAATTCTTTATCATTCTATTCACACATATAAAATTCAAGATCTTCTTTTAACTATGCAATTTCTTATTCATATTTTTGTTTTTGTTCAATCATTAATTTTTAAAATTGATTTTAAACATTTTCCATTTCAATTTAATGTTAAGCTTTTAACTCTCTAATTTACAGCATACATTCTTTCTTAAGTTATAGTACTTATTATTTGCATTAACAAGATTACTATTTATTTTTAAATAAATTTTCTTTTTCATTATCAGAAATAAATGATGATTAATCTTCTGATTCTCTTGTTTAATCTAATTCTCTCCTATTCTACTTTTGAAAAAATTTAATAGATTGCCATATTTCTTCTTTTTTCAGCATTGTCTGTTATTTTTAATTTAATTAATTATGCAAAACAAAATATTTTCATTAAACAATTTACAAACCAAAACTTATCAATATTTCCTTCCATAATCATCTTCTCTCTATAATCTCACATTTAGTATAATCCTAGTACTCCATCTATGGTCTCCTTATTGCTTTAAAAAATATCCTATCACTTAAATATTATATTACATTTAGTACAATTACTATTAATAAATAGAAAGATTAAGAAGTATTGTGGTAAACTAACAAATGAATGTATATCGTATCATTTAGGTTAGAGAATAAATATATTCATCAAGTAGTTTCAATAATAACTTTCTAGCTACAGCTAACAACAAATCATAGACTAATAAATTATGAAATTTATCCAAAGACTAAATATATATGTAATAGAATTTTTAACTTTATAAAATTTCCTATAGTTTTAACACAGAAGGATATCTACTTTTGAACAACCTTGTCATTCATTTCATAGGCTAATTATACCATATACCTATATCTATTTAAAGTATATGAAAGTTTTTAATCAACTTACAATGATATTAATATTATATTTTCACACATAATTCAAAGACAGCACTTAGATTTTATATCCTACCTGCTCTAGAGATTTTCCTTTTTCTAAATTTGACAATTTTTAATATATATTAGACTTTTATGTATCATTTGAAATCTCTGGATTTGAATCATAATTTACTATACCATCCTTGATTGCAAATACTATTGATTATAATTTTTGCACATTATGCTTTCATAAATCATTTTTTTATGCAACTACTCTTTTGAATTCTCCAAATACGTAAGAAACATTAATTAATTCCAAAATACTATCCTCAAAATAAGTAATAATTATAATTTTAGACAATTTAGCATAATTACTTTTGAACTACTTAATTCCAAAATTATTCTATCTTTGAACCTAAAAGAAGTCTTAAAGATAGAACTATCAATTTATAAATTCTTCTTATTATCTTGGAGTATTTTCCAGCGAGATTTCATTAATTAGAGTTATTTCTGATTCAGCATCATATTAATGCTCATATTTAAATTTAATCAAGCTGCTTGGTTTATTATTTTCTTATTTCTCTTATATTCTTGTTTTCTATCTCTTTGGTTATTCAGTATTCGAATTATTATTTTTTATCTAACAATAATACCTATTTAATTAATTTATGTTGAGATCTAAAGAAAACAAAGAAGCTGAGATATACGACTGTTTAAGTAGAGATGGTACGTCTAATCTTAAATACACAAGACTCTTTCATTATTAATGATATGGAAAATTTGGGTCCATGGCATAAATATGGAGGTAGCATACATTAAGAACTTTAAAGAATCTCCTCATTGTAATTATGCAAATCAGTCTCTGAACATCATACTGACAAGATAATAAATTCCACCAGACAAATAGCATAAATGCAATCAGGTAGAAGGTTATCATAAGAAACCATTAAACAAACATAATTTCCATTAGATGAAAAAATTATGAAATCAACATCAATTCATAATGAATCAAAAAGCAGAACATAATTAATGAAATAACTCAGATCTCCTAAGCCTAAAGATAGTTCTCTAATTACAACAAAATAAGAAGAAACCTAAACTATTAATATTAAAGCAGAAAAAACAAATGTTGGATTCTTTGTTCAGTGTTATCCTAACAGAAATAAATTTGAAAGGTCTAAATTATCAAATTTCTAGAGTTCTAAGGAATATTTTGAAGTAAATTAATGTTTATTATTTAAGAGAAAATAGCATTGAAAATGATGTATGGTTTAAATAGAGATTAAAATATTGAGACAATACAAATTGGTAATTCAAATTAATAATTTATAAAATAATAAGAATAACAAGAAAGAACTTCATAATCAAGAGTAGGTCCTTAGACAGTGGGCAGAAATTATTTTTATAAAAAAGAATTAAAATTTCATAGTAATAATACATCTCAAATTAATCTAAACAAAACAATTAATAATTCTATTAATTCTATATTAAATCAACAATAAAATATTGCTAAATAAAGAATTCCATTTAATAAACTTATTAATAAAAAAACTGTTATTTCATTTGCATCCCAAAATCAATTATTGGAAAAATAATACTAATAATCTTAAAAATAAAATAAAAAAATTTAAAGAATGGTTAGCAGTTGATATTTAATTGTATTAAATTTTTGGAAATTATATGTAGATTCCAATTTATAATAATATAATATAATACATCAAAATGATCTGAAATTTTTATCTATTTTAATGCATGCATCCTCTAATAATTTTAATAATGCTTCAGTAGTTGCTTCTCTTTCCCTTCTTTCAAAATTAATATCTTATTATAATTTGCCATGCACATCTTCAATCATTCTGAATATTTTTCCTTATGTTTCCTCTCTTACTTTCTTTTCAACAAGCAATTAATCTGAAAATTTGTTAATTTCACTATCAATTTATTCAGATAATGATTCAGCTGATTCTTCCCTATTTTTATATGCATTCTAAAATACCTTGATCTTCTTTCTTAATCTAATTAATTTTTAACAACTTATATTTATTAAAGAACTTCTGCAATTTTAGCCTGACTTCTGTCTTCATATTAATGAGTATTTCTAGTTATAGTTAGAGTTATCTAAGCAAAACGTTCATCAATTTGCTTCTACAACTTTGTTTCTCCTTATCCTCTAATATTTCTTTCCTATTCAAAAGATAATGCAATATTATCAGATAATGTTCTGAAATCTTTCTCCTTCTTATCATCAAAAGCCTAGAAATTATGGTTTCAATTATATACTTCTCTCTCTGATTTTTGATTATGTGCTTAATCTTATAGTTTCAAGACTGAATCTTTAATGACTTTGAATTTTTATTCATCTTTAGGTTTTTCAGATGCAAGTACGTCTTCAATAATTTTGATTCTTTCTTCCAATACTTCTCTTTTTTCTACTTTATCTTTATCAATTCCATTTTGAATGTGATTCCATTTGTCTGATAGTAATTTAATTCTTTATCTTGATGGGGAATCAAGGTCTTAACTCAAATAGTTAATGGTGGATCTTTAAGGACTTGATAATTGAGATTTAGTAAGTTTGGAAGTCGTTAATTTTGATGTTGAAAGTAGCATATGATATTTTTAATTAAATTTATTTACGATTTATCAAGTATAACATTACCCCTATAAAATGTTAATAATATATAATAATTAAATGAATCAAAGTTAAACAATTTCAACTCTAAACACCTCCATCCAAAAAGCTAAATCTGATTTTCAACAAATAACAACATAAAATAAGTATACATAACATCTTAACTAGATCTCTCATCTCATAAATGAAAATTGACAATTCTGAATATACAGATTAATTAATCAATTAAAAATAAAAAAATACAGTTGTAGATACTTAACTAGCTTTGAGTGTGATTAAGGCTTAAGAAGAATGTGCTTTGATTGCATAAAAAATTGAAATAGAAACTAAAAAGAAGGTAATAAATTACTTATATTTTAGTAAGACTTAGAAAATCTAGTAAATGCTATGAAAACAAGTGCAAAAGATATTTCAAAAATAGAAAATACTAATTCTGGCAGTGAGTTAACTTAAGTTTAAAAAGTAAAATCAATATTTAATATGATAGGCAGTTCGAGATGCAGAATTGAAACTGTAATAAATTCACATTAAACATAATGAATAATTAGCAGAAGTAGAAGCAGAAAAAGAGTAATTGAATCTTAGTAGAAGAGAAAGAGTTATTTATTCAACAGTATTTAAAGGAATAGAAAAAGATGCTATTTTTAAATAAAGAGAATATTAAAATTGTATAAGATAAAATGAATTACTTAAAGAGGAAGTAACTAAATTTATTTAAATTATAGTAAAAATTTCTTCAAGACTAATTGAAATTGATTAAAGAATTAGCTGATAAAGAACAAACAAAATTCCAACAAGAATATGATGACTTATTCAAACCTTAAAAAGATGAATAATAGGAACAATAAAGCATGGCTTCAGATTAAAAATCTTAAGTTTAAGGACCTTATTTAACAGAATAAGGTGATTAATCAAAACCAATATTAAAAGAAAGAAGTGAATCATAATAGGAATAGAAAGATGTTGCCTAATAAGTTCTTGAATATGAGGCTTAATTTAATAAACTTTATTTAGAAACAGGATTTAATAATGTTGAAGCAATACTGAAATAATATTATAATTAAGAAATTTGGATTGATGAAATCTATAAAGAAATCAATGAGATAAATTAAGAGGTAATAATTCTAATTATATTTTAAGATTGAACAAACTGAATAAAAGAATGAGAAAATATAATAATATTTATAAAAGTTTAAATAAATGGCTAAAGCTCCAATTAAAGAATAAGTAAATTCTGAAGATTCTAAGATTGAAAGAATCTCAAGAGGAATAGATTAAAATAAAAAATAAATAGCTTAAATTTAGTAACAGTATATGAGGATTTAAGAATAAATAGGAGTCGAAATTATAAATGGAGATGATGATGAAACAACCCTATTGCCAAAAATAGAATAATTAGAAAAAATAATAGATAATATTTTATTAGTTTCAAATTAATATATTCCAAAATAAGATCAAAAGAAATAAAAGAAAGGAACAGTTAAATTTGATGATGATAAAAGTGAAATATCAGGTACAAAATAACATACTGAATTAAAATCTTAAACTGATCATTAAAATGATTTAGACATTATATTGACAGAGGGTATAGAAAATTTATTATTTTGTAGTTGAGAAGAGAAAGACATTGGCTGAATCAAGACATACAAAAGAAGAATTGTAAAAAGAAAGTACTGATTAAATGGTTCTATCATAAAATAAAAAATAAAATTCTAAAAGATCAAAACATTAATAATCACAATATTGAAAATATTAATTTACATATATAGATTTCTTAATTATTATTTATTCCACTTCAAAACAAACAAAGAACTTTCATCTACAAAATAACTTATAGATTTCTATCTCCAATATTAAATTATTATTATATTTTTATGCATAAATGACTATTTTTTTATGTGGTTGATAAGTGATTTTTCTAATCAATTTATGAATTGTTTATTAATTATAATTAATATTTATTTTATATACGTTTTTATTTTCAATATAGAGAATAATGAATGCATCGCATACAGAGTTTATAGAAAGCTATATTGATTAAAGCAATAATTATAGTAAAACGAAACTAATTGATAAAACAGTATAAAATAATGGAATACATATGAAATAATAATCCATCTTAAGATACCTAGTTTTATTTTTGTCAATCTGGATAATTATTCCGTCATTTTATTGCTTTGACTAACCAGTGGCAATATATAAAACACTTTAATAATTATTTTAAGAAGATTCAACGATAAATTTTGACTTATATTTTGCATCTCTTTATATAATATATGCATTTGGGAATGCCTTCTTGCCTCTTTTTACAGGAGGAATGAGAGATTGTCATGGTGACAGAATAATTATGACTTATATAGTAGGTGTAAATATTATTAATTATTATAGCTATTATGATAATAGGATAATTAACTTTCACAGTAGGAGTCTATTTTAAATCATTTTTATTCATGATTTTAGGTAGATTACTTTTAGGTTGGGGTATTGAGTCATTGTTACCATTATGGGCATCTTTTTTGGCCCCCTTTTTTAAGAATAGCATTGTAACATTGAATTATGTATATAGTCAATAGTTTTGAGTATTTTACAACTATTTTCATAAATTGGTTTAGTACTATCAATATATCTAACACCAATTATCTAAAAAAAATATAATTTGATGACATCCTTAATAAGTGGAATAGCATTTATATTAATTGGCTATATTTTATTATGCCTTGGTTTTTTGATAGATAAGAAATTAGAAAATGAAAATTATTTATCCTCCTATAGACAACTCTAACCAAGTAGTGACATTATCTTAACTGAAGATACAAAAATAATTAATAAACTCTATTTCTTTAAGTTCAAAGATTTTAAGATTTTTCCATAAATGTTTTGGTTACTTTTAGCTTTTAATTCTGTATTTTATTGTTCAATAGTCACACTTGTGAATGTATCAATGTATATTATGGCATCGGTTTTATTTGATATAAATAATCAAATTGAAGAATTAGATATTGCATTATTTTGGATGTTAGGTTGCTTATCACTTTTTATTATTGGTCCTTTGGTTTAATATTTTACATATAGAAGGTATTTAATTATAGTTTCTGTTATAATTATAATTATTGGCCATATATAGTACTTAACCTCACCTCATATAGGTCTAATAATATTAGCAATAGGTTATTGCTTATCATTTGTATGTACTTGGAGTGCAATTATTTACATAATCAAATTGAAATCATTTGGCAAAGCATTTGGTCTTACAGTAGGATTTTAAAATTTGATTTTTGTGTTTATGCCATTCTTATTAGACATTGTCAACAGAAATATAATGGGAACTTTTAAAGTATTAATATCGTTTTCTTTATTTGCTTTAATTATAGCTATTTAGATTCTAGTTGAAGATATAAGATGTTTCAAGTAATAATTATTTATTATTTTATAGCATTTTAGATAATAAATTAGCTCCTATGCAATTTGCAAAAATAAACAATGCAAGTAATGAAGAAAATAATAATAATGATACTGATCTATTTGCCGAATACTTAGAAAAGCCATAATGAGAAATAAAAATAATTATAATTACAAAAAGTATTTAAAAATTAAATGAATTTTTCTTACTTTAATAATCTATTTCATTTCTTAAAGAATATATATTTGAATCATATATAATATTATTTATAATAGTAATCTCAAATATTAACTTCTTTTAATGGCTTAACAATAATTTGACTGGATTGGCTGACTTAACTTGATTTAGTATTTGAAATATTTTCTTTATATAAAGATGATTTACGAACCTCAAAACTAGTAGATTCCTAAAATATTAAATATTATAATTACTCTAACTACAGTTGGGTTTCCTCTTTGTTTAAATGCATCAAATTCAGCTTAAACCATCATTAAATCTTCTTAAGTCTTATGATAATCCTTATTTAAGACAATAAATTTCTTTTTCCAAGTTTCAACTTCATTTTAATAATAAGTTATTTTTTCTTCAAATTAAACTACTTCATTTGATTAGTTTGA